CTTTGAGGTGGCCAAATTAGAGGACAGAAGAAATTTAAGCATAGCAGTTGGGGACATTAGTATGGACAAAATGAATAGTTTTATTAAGTACTGTTCTACAAGTGTATATCCAAGCTGGTCAATTCATATAACTTTCTCAGTTGCTAAATCAATTATGCATTCAACCAAACTCTCATGACAACTGTGTACTTGCTAAATCAGAGGGCACATTGATGATCATGATTAAAACTTGTAGCATAATGATATAAATGACTCTGATGATCTCAATTCAAGATATTCTGTTGTATTCTATCATCAGGTTTCACATGGATCCTGTCTGGGTCATGCTTTATTCCTCTCATGAAAGATCACGTTTCACCTCATTAATCAGCATGTTGACATTGGTATAGGAAGAATGATCTTGTTTAGTGAGAATCATTGAAACATAACCTTACTTTTGAAAGCTCAACTGTACTTTTTATTAAATTATACTTCTTTTCAGTATTTATAGTGGATTTATATTCCTGTCATGTTGCTCTTCTAACACTCTCTCACTACCCCTCAAAAAAAACACTAACCGCTACTACAGTCATTTCCAAAGCCAAACATGAGGATTCAGCTCCACACTAACTCTGCATGAATATGTAGATGGCTTTCATAGTCACACATAATTGAGTACATGTCCCTTTCCACTTTTAGATTCCCTTGAGAAACATCTACACTTGAAGGTAATAACTTTTATATTTTTATCTTGGATAATTAAGCACAAATTATATGAAATGTACATTAGTTATTAATCATCTTGTTTCAAAATCCATTCAGCATACCATTGAAGTGAAAGATTCTGATCCCAAGGAAGCAATAGAAATGGAGGCTATACAAATATCCAGATCAGGTAAATTTTGTGAATCAAATTGAACTCTCAAAGGGAGTAAACAAAAATATTTGACATGCTCGTTGTTTTTCTATTTCTAATTTCTTTTTTTATAAATTTATTTGACTGCTTTGAGATAAAGAAGATGTCATTTTTGGTATCCATGTTTGAGAAAAATTATTTACAAAATAAGTAAAATAAAAATTTTAAATGTAATCTTTAACTCTGATGTGTTTTGTTTTGGTTCAGTACTCTAAATTTTTCAGTCTGGAATTTTCGTACTTATTTGAATTTCCCAGAAGTTAATTTTAGATGCTAATGTTTCTTCTCGTTATTTTAAAATATTTTTTGAGTTCCAACCTTTACTTAAAGCTTCAGTTTCTATATATTATCGTGTTTTAAATGTATATCATCTAAATGTTGTCATACTGATGAGCTTATACCATCCAATCAGCTGTGTGTGAGGGGGTTGTTTACGGTGTCTTCGATGATTAAAAATGATTAAAATTAAAAGAAGAAATTCATCATAATGAATATTTGGTAGACACACTCTTTTAAAAAAGTAAATGATTAAAATTAACAGAAGAAATTCATCATAATGAATATTTGGTAAACACACTCTTTTAAAAAAGTAATTCTGAAACTTTTGGCCTTAGGATATTTTTATTGTGTTAATAGTTTTTGAGACTATTAAAGAATTTTTTAAATTGGGTTGTACATATTGATAGAGACCATATCTGAAATTAAACTGAAAAATTTAAAATACAAGCACACACATTCCATTAGCCATTAGAGGTATGACCCCTTAATCATAGAGCTGTGATATTACCACATATCATGTCTGTGGAAAACTCTTCTGTACACTTATACTAGAATGACAGTGAAAATGATAAATAACATTTAGCTTTCCTGTGGAAATAGTTTGACCTCCTGGACCTCCTGAAGCGATGGATCTTCGGACTCCAGGCATTCTCAGATGATACTGAGAACCACCGTTTTAAAACAAATACGGGGTTCATGGATTTGAAATTATAAAGAACCCCCCCATGATAAAACATTGGCTGTAAAGCTTCATTTCTACATTTGTTCCTTTGTTCTTTCACTTGTCTTAAAAAGTTTGAATCCAAGAAATTTGATTTTTTTAAAAAAGGAAAATGTGTGTGTTGAATACTCATTTTCTGTCACATGATACTCTTTACTCTGTGGATTGTGGCTGACTAAGATGTACTTATTTTTACATGAAATAATGAGATCACCCAAGGTCGTCATTGTCATATGAATTTCTGTTTATCTAAAGCTTAGAAAGTAAATTCTGAAGATGGCGGATTTAAAAAAGACCATTTTATTGTAATTAAGTAGTTTCTTATTAAAAGTAGTATCATTCATTAAATTTTTTTGCAAACCATGTTGGTCATGCATACTTAAACTTAGAATAAATGGTTAGACAGAAATTTTGATAATAACAAAAAATCATACCCTGAAGAATCTTAACTAATAAGCAAAGTTTTCTGGAAAACACCCCATGTAATAAAAATTGCTGAGTGACAATCATTTATTAAACTTATCTATGTGAATGGCAAGTATAGGACATATAAAATAAAATGCGTTGTGAAGGAGCAGTGTGTTTGGGGGTTGATGAGGACGTGGCACTGCTGCTCTGGAGAAAGAATTTTTACAGGTTAGTAAAATTAGCATTACTTACATTCTAATCAATGAAAACTTTCTTTTCAGATTCTTCAGATTGGTATCGTCCTAATTTACCCCTCTATCATGAGACCTATCAAAGACCCGGGGATTTGAAAGTTGATGATAAATGCCCAATTGTATCACAATCGATGACCCCACATCAGTCAGCATCCACAGACTTTGGACAGATGAACTTGATACATAAAGACAAGACTAATATTGGAGCTGTGTTGCTAATAGCGGAGGATAGGCTCCATGACCTGTGTGGATCACGGCTACCAGAAAACATCAGAGAGAGCAAAGAAGGTAATAAAGAAACAAAAAGAGTTCAACCCTAGACCACCACTGGGGGCTTCACCATACTTCTGAGTTTTCAAAAATCATTTAGTGGCAAAATCTACTTTAGTTTTCCTTTGTCTATGCAACCCACAGCATAACAGAATAGCTTTTAGCAAACTATTGGCATTCTTCTTATAACCAACATGACACATATCTACATAAGAAGGAGCATTAGGGAAAAGAGTAATTTTGTTTAGGTTAGTATTTAGCATACACTTGGCATTGGGTACCAAGATTTTATTTAGAACTATAAGACTAAATGGAAAAATTAGGTAGAAATCTAAAGATTGCCTACAGACACAAAACATAATTTCTTGGCTTTATTTTTATAGCTCTGAATTCACAAGTATTAGTTATCACTATATTCAGTGTAACTGAAAAAACATCTTTTAAAAGCAAATATTAAAATATTTCTTATGTGTTCTATGATTTTATATATTTTAGAATTGGCTTTTCTAACAGTTATGGGTATCTCTGAGATTTTGCTCTTTAATACTTCCTTCTCAGCTGTGTCCACATAGTGTGTCACTTTAAAAATTTTTTTTGATGAATAAATATTTCACAAGAAATGTTGTTTTAAAAGAGTGATGTATAATTTATAAACAACATATGGAATAAAAAAACAACATGGAAAACCAATTTTAATTTTGCTAGGATACTCATTCTATTGACTGACTATATCTAATATGTGTTTCATTTAATGTATCATTAATTTAGGGCCCTTTATTAGTCTTATGATCAGGTCTTTAGTAATAAAACATACAGTATTTTTTCACCTCTATAGTTTCACATTCTTTCTTTTTCTTAACTCTGGTAGTAACATTGTCTTTACAAAAAGACTTTCAATTATCTCCTAGAGTAATGGCTACAAGCCATAAATTTAAAGTTATTTACATATGTATACAGGTGTCTTATTTCTTCAGATGCCTTGTAAAAACATACCCAAGCTCCCTCAACACAGAAATATGTGAAACAGAAAATCTACAAAAGGAATTGAAGCAACTTAAAAGAGTTTACATAGTTCATATTACTTCTTAGTTGATAATTCTATAAAGCCATGAGCAGGGTCTAGTTTTCCAGGTACTCAGGATTTGTTCATCTATTCATAGAATAAAGATTTATTTTATAGTGAGTGCATCTTAAATATTTACATCTTAAATATTTCTAGCACATTGCCTTAGTTCTGGCCTGCATCATCTATATTTTACATTTTTGCCTGCTAAATTGTCTCCTATTTATTCTTATGCCCCTCCAGTTCATCACTACCACAACATTTAGAGTTATGAATCTCAATGCATATATGACCACGAGCCACTGGTTAAACCATATTGCATCCAGGCATCTTAAAATTACATATAAGCCTTTTATGATCTGACTTCTACCTAACTTTCCATCTGTAGAGCTTTCAACGATCTACCTTTCCTCTGGAATTACTCGATTGCCGGTGATGCCCGCCTCGCCATCTGTATTAGACAAGCTTTATGCTGTTGTATGCTTCTCCCTCTATCTTCATAGCACAGCCTTGTAAGCTTTCTGCCTTTCCTGCCTTCTACCCCTTTGTTTCTGGCTAACCTCATAGTTTATGTCTCGGCAGAGACATTATCTCTAAAAAAGCTATTTCTGATAACTCTGATCCTCAAAGCCCAGTGCTGAGTCCTAAAAGATGAAAAGACATTTGTCAAAATACTAAGAAAAACATTTTCTATATAAGGAAGGGTGTACACTGATAAAAGCATTAAAATTAGCAGTAATTTTGGAAACTACAAATAACGATGCTGTTGAAGCTTAGAGTGTTAAAAAGGTACTATTATGAGTTAGAGGTTATAATGTGACCTTTATGGTGTACTGTGTTTCCAAATTTTGTTTTGTTTTTGATTGATTTTTCATTGATGTTGCATCAATGAATTTGTGAATGTATTTCTGAGGTGTTTGTATGCCTTGAACATTGTGACATCTATTATTTCCCAAATGGTTTGTTAAAGTTTTAGATAATTATAAGTATTTTTTAAAGAGGTAAACACTCAGATAAGGATTAATTTTAATTTAAATTCTCAATTGATAAAATATTATTTGCTGTTTTTCATAAAGATTTGTAGATTTAACTAATATATGGATTTGTCAGCAGAACTAGACTTAGAAATGACATCGGAGGAAAAGCAAGAAAAGCTTGATGGAAGCCAATATAACTACCCACAGGTACATAAAAATTTTAATTGAAATTTCTGGTATCATATTTTCTATGATTTCATAAGGAATTCTAATTCAATTGAAATTACTTTTCAAGCTACCTGTTTATAGTCAATAATTCATAATTGAATATTGAGTTTTATAACATTTTACCTAGTTATAATCTTAAAATTTTGTTTGAATCCATAGTAACTTACAGCTAAGCTTCTTCCTTGGATTAAGACAAAAAAATTTCTGACTATTATTTGCTTCTGTCATTTTTATAACTTCCTTACACAATAAAGAAGGTAACATCAAATATAGTATCATATGATAAAAAGATGAAATTATGAACAGTATAAAAATGATGGCCACTAGGTTGGATTGATGTGAAAGGAGTCATCATTTTCAGTGGTTCAAAATTTGCAAATTGGTATTTCTATTCACTAATGTCAAGGTTAAGATTTATTCTGCCTTGTAATTTCTATGTAATTAACTTCATAATCTACAGTCAAGGAGAAAATAAGGTCATAAAATCAACTAAACTGACTATTAAGATAATCACACCTTCTAGGATGGGATCTTTTTCTTTTTAGGGTACAAGCAATAACCTTCTAATTCATTTTATTACAGTGTAATAAATCAGTAATATTATAAAAATTTTATTCCACCCTCATTTGTGGATGTTAGAATTGGATGCAAGAGATTAGTATATCAGCACATAGCACTATCATAGCATATAATTAAATTAAAATTAAAGAAGTTGGTTTTCTTTCTCATTGATGTTAATGATTTTGGCTTACAATAATTTATAGTTTGTGTCTTCTCCAGTTATTAATCTTTATTCATAAATGTATTGTATAAGCTCACTCTTTCAGATATGGTGAGGTAAAATGTTTTAAATGAGGAAGATTTTGTAACATTAAAAGTCATCGACCCATTTTTGGTGTATTTAACATAAGAAAAGCTGTTTAGTTCAAACAGACAAAATTAGGAGTGCCAGTTCATGTTTTTGTCCTAATTTAGACTCAGGCAAGTTATTTTTCACTTCTTAGTTACAATCCCACTGGATTTGGGAGTACATAAACATAGATTTAAAAGTTTAGCTGTTAAATATTAAATACATTCTAATTTTCCTTTGTCCATTCGCGATTCCTTAAGGATCAAGTCATTTCACAAACATGTACGCCGACAGGAAAGACATTTGAAAATCAAACCAAGCAAATTAGTCTTCCGCTTTTGCATCTGCAAAAAATGTCTCAAGTATCAGACATGAATAAGAGATGTGATGGAGATGACATATCTGCATATTCAAGACATTCTTGTGTGCAAAAGGTTGAGGAAATGTTGATCAAACAAGGCAAATTAGAGTGGAAAAATAAGTTAAAACTCATCACAAATGAGTTAAAGCAGAAGTTTGGTGAAATTTGTGGGAAATACAAAACTACTGGCTGTCCTGAGGAAGAGTCACCACCTGACAACTCTGAAGAAGGAGCACGCTTAAGAGAAATACCTTCTAATTTCCCAGATAATATACTTCATTGTCAGGGAAAAGATGCATTTGGAGTGTCCGTCTCTGCAGTGTTCCAGGCATTTTCCGAACAAGAAGAACCCCCTGTTGAAAATGTCTTTCTATCTCATTCAGGCTCTTGGTCCCTGGGATATGCTTGCTGGTCATCTTCTAAGCTTTGTTTAAATGAAAATAAATTACAACACGAGAATGAGAACAAATCAGACTCTGAACATGTTTGTAATGAAAATAAAGAGAGTTTGTACAGTGATTCAGAAAATAAAAATAGGAACCCAAGGGTTACATTGGAAGTGAAAGGGGACCAACATTTTGATATGCAGAAGACAAAAGACATGAACCCAAACACCACTGACCGGAAATTCAGCATCGGACACACTCATCGGTCTAGTGATCCGCAAAGTCTTCTAGATTCGAGTTTTGCCGACTCCAGTGAAGTGAAACACATGATTCAAATAAAAAGGCATGCTATTTCTGCTGTTACAAATACTTATAAGGAAATAAAACCTAATCAAAGCCTGTTCCAGAAGCCATCACTTGTAGATAATTGCAGCGCTAATGACTGCGAAAGCTCAGAAACTGAATTAGAAAATGTAAGTTCTCCACTGTATAGTGATGGATCCTCTAAAGTATATCTGTATGAAGAATTAGAGCAAGAGCCACAAAAGTTTATGAATGAGATACACATATTAAAAGTAGAGATCTTAGCTTTGGAAAAAGCAAAAGTTCAACTTAAAAAAGAGGTAGAGTTTCACTTGCTGCTACTCTTTGTTTATTCTTTTTATCAATTATCTGATTCATTTTGATTTTTTCCTTTAAAAAGAGTTTGTGTATAAAATGGGGTTGTCTAAATGTGTAACCGTGTCTAGAAATAGATTATTACTGCCATCTAAATAATTAGAGTTTAGGTAAACATTCTCATAAATTTTTTTCTTAATCAACTTAATTCTTTGTCAGTCTTCCATAGGAGCTAAGAAACTAATTTAGCTATGTACCATGTGACTCTCTGCACCAGAAATATATAAAGGAAACACACAATAAGCTCTAGGTTTGTTCACTTTTTAAGTATTTTGGCTTCAATATAAATTGCATTCCATAAACAATTAAATGGGAAAGAAGCAATGTCTGAGAGAAGGGATATAAACAAATATTCCCAGCTAAACTAACTTATTTTTATACTTTAGATTGTGTATTATATACATATATACTTTTAATATCTGCTGAGTTTCAACAGTAAGTTCTGTGCTACAGTGGCACTATACTTTACCATCAAATATGCTTGTTATTAGATTTTCATGTTTTGTTCCTAATGCATGCGTGCTCAAATACGGGACCCTCACATTAATCTGAAATCCAAAGAAGAATTTCACAATGCAATTTGTTCCACATTCTATATAAAGATTTCAGTATATAGAGTAAAGCCTATTATAAATGTATATAATTTTATTACTACTCTCAGATGTTTTTGTTAAGTCAAACCTTTATATTATGTTGTTTTAAAAAGTTGTCTACGGCCATACCACCCTGAGCACACCCCATCTTGTCTGATCTCAGAAAAAGTATGGTACATTTTGACATGGATAATTTTATCATAGAGAGAGCATAACCTCTATGCAAAATTTTCAGTGTTTAATTCTAAAGTAGAAAAATGAGTTTTGAGGTACATTGATTTTTTAAGACAGACAAAATTGTTATAGTCTGCTTCCAAAGACAAAGTGTATGAGCTCTCCGCCCCCCCTCACTAAGGCATTAAATGACTGCAAAAGTCACATTTTTAATTTATCAAATCAATTCGATAAATTCATTTGGTCATTTATCTCATTCAGTATTAGAGAGTTGTATCATCTCTTTCGGTGCCATTAAATGCTAGGTAATGTATCTTTAGGAACTTTGGACAAATCATGTAAGCTTTCTTGATTTTATTCCCATTGTCAGTAAATATGGCCCTGAAGTAGATAATTACTTCTTTGTATATAGGCCCTCTCTATATACAATTTTATAGTATTGAATGTGAATTTTGGGGAGCATTACTCATTTTCCAGAATTCTACGTTAGCTAATGACTTATCAGATTCACTCAGCCTCTATGTTTTGGGAAACTTTGGATTATCTATTTTATGAATACCACCACATTTTTTATATTTCCATGATCCAGAAGGAAAAATAATTGGAAAAGACAATGGGAGAAAGAAGAGCTGAGTGCAGAAAGAGGAAGCACAATATCACATCCCCTAAATCTGTCTGTCTAATGCAGAATTGAGTTGGTAAAGATAGAAAAGGACAAATTTTGTGCCTTTGATTTTCATTTATCTGTCTTTGCTGGTCAAATATGGGGTGTGTGGATGTTAGGTATCACCGAGTAAATGTGAACAAGAGTACAAAGTTAAGAGAGCCCTTTCTGACATGTTGGAAAATTCTGCTTCCTTTACTGAAATAAAAAGGAAGCAGAATTTACCAGTAACTTCAATGACATGTAATAATGAAGTAAACACAGAAATATTTTTATTGGTGAAAGTCATGATAATGAAACTCAGAGCCAAATGATAAAATTAATGAAAACAGAAAGGGTCTTTATAATGAAGAAAGTGATAACAATTATTCTTAATATCAAACTTTCATTGAAGCTTGAAGAAGAAAGGAAAAGGCACAAAAGTAGTGACATGGAAGCAACAGAAAACATATATAATACTGCTGCTGAAGACAGCGAGGGATTAATTCGATACAGAAAGAGTGGAAAAACTGATAATGAGCCATTTCCTATTATGGAAAATGCAGATTCTGATAGGTAAGCCTATAACAATAGTTAACAGTCAGTAATTGTTATTTTCCTATAAAATAAATTTTAATTTGAGTTAATATTCATGATTAACAAATTTAACATTTTGACTAGACATTCAGCCTTGCCTGGTAGTTAGAAAAACGCAAATTAATGAACAATGAAATGCCATTTTTGAAGTCAGAATGATAAATGTTATCTAAAAAAATAACAAACAGAGTTGGCAAAAAGGAGGAAAAAGGCATTCTCATATTGGTAGGTGAAATTGGTATATCCTTTTGGAAATACTGGTAATCTAGCAATGTGTTTCAAAATTTCAAATATGTCATCCCTTCAACTGAACAGCTTCACTTCTGGAACTAGATCCTACAGGAAAACAAGACATGTATAAACACACACACACATTCTAAGGGAATTTCTTATATATTATTATGTATATAAAACATACAGTAGATCATTACATATACTCTATATAGTTTGATATGTATGTTAAGGATATGCGATATATATTTGCATTAAGGATATTTATATAAATATGTTACATCTATATATGTTAAGGATATTTATTATAGACTGTGTATCAAAAAGTTGGAGGTTGTCTAAATATCTATCGATAGGGAAATAAACTATTATACCCATAAAATAATGTAGTATACAACCATTGGGAAAAAATGAGGTTAGGTCTACAGTATACTGATTGTTTCACAATTAAAGTATATTTAAAATATTTGGTATGTCCTATCCTATTATGCAAATTATGTTGGCATACCTTTAATATCTGCTGAGTTTCAACTAAGTTATGATTGTTTCACAATTAAAGTATATTTAAAATATTTGGTATGTCCTATCCTATTATGCAAATTATGTTGGCATACCTTTAATATCTGCTGAGTTTCAACTAAGTTATGATTGTTTCACAATTAAAGTATATTTAAAATATTTGGTATGTCCTATCCTATTATTCAAATTATGTTGGCATACCTTTAATATCTGCTGAGTTTCAGCTAAGTTATGTCGCACTCTACTTTGTTACCATCAAAATTCCAGTTATTAAGATTTTCGTGTTTTGTTCCTAATGCATGCATGCTCAAATATTGGACCCTCAAATTAATCTAAAATCCAAAGAATTTCACATGACAATTTGTTCCACATCCTATATAAACATTTCAGTATATTGAGTAAGATTTATTAAAGTACATCAAAGGATCAATCTGCTATATCAGGGTTTGAGAGACCTTTTCTGTGGAAAGCCAGATAAATATTTTAGGCATTGTGGACCATCTGGTCTCTTTTCTTGCAGTCTGAAATCTGTTATAAACAATAGGTAGATGAATGAGTGTGACTGTTCCAATAAAACTTAATTTACAAAAACAGACAGTGGCCAGATTTGGCTTCAGGCCCTAGTTTGTTGACTCCCCCTGCACTGTAAACCAAGCTGCTTGCTAGTGCAATGCATCTTCTTTCTAAAGGTGCCACTATCCTTCTTTTTTAAAGAGAATCTATTTCAGTATGCACCACACCACATATTTCAACCATGACTTCATCTTATACAATTTACAAAAATTCGGCTTCTAAATTAAGAATATTTTCTGAATTTCCCCCTTTATTTCTGTTACAAATTTTTTAAAAGACTAATTTCTTAGTACATTTGAGTAGTGTACAATATTCTAGACTTGGAGGATTTTCATGAGGTGTAAAATCTTTCCATGATTGTTGTAAGCATGAGAAAAATGATAATCAAGTTGTATAATTCCTACATATCTAGAAAGAGGTCTTTTAGTTGTATAATTTTGTGAATTTATGTTTTAGTACCTGTTCTGGCATTTTTTTAAACTATTTAGTGCCACATGCATGTAACTCAAAAACTTTTAAGTATTATTAAAATGCTGCATAATCATTATGTAAGGGTTGAAAACTACAGCTAAACAAGAAGGAAATTGGAGCATCCATGATCATGCCACTTAGCTATGAAGTCCTTAGAAGAACTATTGATAGTCCTTTATTCCAATTTCCCTTCCATTCTCCTTGAACTCAGTCTAGTAGTGTTTAGTCCCACTTCTCCTCCAAAATTGTTTTTCTCATATGTTTACCACTGGTTTTCACTTTAATAAATCTAGATATAATTTCTTCGACCTCGTTTTACTTAACCTACCAGTAGTAGTTAACCCAATAGAAAACTTTCTCCTCCAAATCACTTTCTTCATTTGGTATCGAGGACTTTTAGTTTTCAGGAGGAAAAACACACTTACAAGGTTTCCCCCAGCCTGACTCATATTCCCACTACCCATATGCCCACAACATATCAAAATTTCATTTCTCTTCTTTAGTATCTTTCCTCTAACATACTGTAAATTTTGTTTATCTAGTTCATTATGTGTGTTTACTTCACTTCATTTTTGTATATTCACTGCTATATCCTCAGTGCCATGAAGAAAGCCTAGCACACAGTACTACTCAAATATTTATTGAGTGAATGTAGTTAAACCTATGTGTATTGTTTCACATGTTATGCTAAACAAGACACAGGTTTGATGTGGACTCATTTTGACAATTTTGCCTGTCAATTATATGCATTTTTGTAAATTCTTTTTGGCTCTTTCTAATAAGTTATATTCCCTCCTTGAGTGTTTGCCCATTTAGGGAGAAGAGCCTAAAAATGCATTTACTCACCATTTCTTTTACTGGTATCTCTAATTGTTTTCATTATGGTAAAAATGGATCAATGTAATAGCAAACTTCATTTAATTTTATTAAGAAAAATAAACTATAATGGTGGTAAATTATTCTAGGCCGTTAAAATTTTTTTGCCAAAGGGTTATGAGCCCTCAGTATCTGAAATAAAAAGATGAAGTTGAAATTTGTTGCTCAATATAGTAAGAGAGCTTTGCTGGTCAGGCACAGCCTTTTCAAACCGAGTAGCCTGCTCTTCTTATATACGGTTTTTGGAAGAGTGGATTTTCAGAGGCATAAGAGGGTTGACATCATCTGAAGCAACATGGATATTCTGGTGAGACCGTCGTTGTTCGCTCGGCACTCTGAGGCATGTTTATTTGAGTCAAGTTGTCTCTGATTGGCTTTCTTTCAGGAGAAAGCAACTGACATTGATTTGCTGGTAAGTGAGCCAGTGGTCGCTGATTGATTGAACCCTAATCTTTGTCTCACATTTTGATCTGTAAGTAGAACGGCTTCCTTCCATTTCTTTTCTTGCTGACTTCCTCTGTTTATATCTTCTGTAAAGCCTTTCTTGTGATCACTTACAACTAGTCATATGTCAGCTCTCAAATATCACAGTATATTTTACTTGTATATCTATCTTTGACATGAGGAATGTATTTTTCTTTGCTTGCGGTTGGTACTTCATAACTGTTTTGTGAATTAGTAAATTAATTAAGATGGATAACAGTTGGAATTTTACAAATATTGTTTTTTGTATTTATCACTAGAATTTTTAGAAAACATTGGCTTTTTAATGGATTTTTAAAGTAGAGGTCTTTGTACCTTATAAAGAAAGTAAAGAAAAATGAAAATGAAAAAAGGACATCAAAAAAATTTGTTATTACACCTGTGTTTGAGAAGGCCAATTCACTAACTGGTGGTCAACTTCAGGTGAATGATAACAGCAGTTTAAGTGAAATAGATCAGGGTGAAGGAAAGTAGAATCTACAAATGCTCTATTTCTAGGTGAAGGAATATTAGCATTCACTACTTTTTCTGGAAGCAAAACAGCATGACATAGTGTACATGCCAAGGCAAGAGAATTCTCATCTATATCAAACACTGTTGAAAGGTTGACATGAGGACAAGAGACTCTGGCTAGGAGTAGTTTCAATACATAGTTGCTCTGGAAGCGAGACTGTAGAGAATCATATAAACCACTTCGTAGAAAATTTTTTTGGGGGAAAGCAACAGAGAAATGGTTAATGACTAAGGAAAAATGTGGAGTTTAAAGGAGGTTTATTCATTTATGTTCTTATTTAAGATTGGAACTTTTAGAGTGTATTTACATATTGTTGAAAAATGATCCAGTAGACCATTAGGATGTGTTTACTAAATTTAATTTTGTTTGCATTTTCAAGTATTAGAGAGCCAGTTGATTCCATTACATTATCTTGCAAAGATTATAGAAAACTAATTGTCCATAGTACTTCTATTCATGTATACTCTTATGATAAGAAGTTGTTCATTCTGAATTGTTTCCACAGTGGAATATTTTCATATGATGACTATGCAGATGACTACTTAAAAGTTATACCATCATATGCATATTTAAAAATTAAAATAATAAATATATGAACATTGAGGCCTACTGAATAGAACGGAATTCTTTCTTTCTTTTTTTCTTTTTTTATTAAGTGTACTGGGGTAACATTGGTTAATACAATTACATAATTTTCAGGTGTACATTATAATTTGACATTTATATATTCTATTGTGTGATTACCACCCAAAGTCCAATTCCTTCAGTTACCATATATTTGATCCCCTTTACCCACTTCACCATCCTCCAACCCCCTATATTTGACCCCCTTTACCCTGTCTACCTCTTTCCTCCTCCCCCACCCCATACCCTCTGGTAACCACTAGTCCATTGTCCATGTCCATGAGTCTCTGTTTGTCTTGTCCATTTGTTGCTTTTAGGTTTATATCTCACATATAAGTAATATCATGTGATTTCCAACTTTTCAGTCTGGCTTATTTCACTTAGCAGGATTAATTTAAGGTCCATCCGTGTTGTCGCAAATGGCAGTATTTCATCTCTTCTTATGGCTGAGTAATATTCCATCATATATATGTACCACAGATTCTTTATTCAATCATCTATCATAGGACACTTCAATTGCTTCCATGTCCTGGCCACTGTGAATAATGCTGCTATGAACATCGGTGTGCAAATATATTTTCTGATATGGGTTTTCAAGTCTTTGGGCTAAATACCCAGTAGAGGGATGGCTGGATCATATGGTAGATCAATTCTTAGTGTTTTGAGGAACCTCAATGTTTTCCATAGCGGCTGTACCAATTTGCAGTGTATGAGAGTTCCTTTTTCTCTGCATTCTCTCCAGCATTTGTTATTACTTGTCCTGTTGATTATAGCTATTCTAATGGGTGTGAGATGGTATCTCATTGTGGTTTTGATTTGCATTTCCCTAATTGCTAGCAATGTTGAGCATCTTTTCATATATTTGTAGGCCATTTGTATGACCTCTAGGGAGAAGTGTCTGTTCAGGTCTTCTGCCCATTTTTGATTGGATCATTTGTTTTTATGTTGTTATGGAGTTGTATGAGTTCTTTGTATATTTTGGATATTAGGCCATTATCGGAGGCATTGCTTGCAAATATATTTTCACATTTGGATGGTTGTCTCTTTACCTTGTTGATGATTTCTTTTGCTGTGCAGAAAAGCTTTTTAGTTTCATGTAGTCCCATTCATTCATTTTTGCTTTTCCTTCCCTTGCTTTTGAGGTCAAATTCATAAAATCCTCTTTAAGTCCAAGGTCCTTGAGTTTAGTTCCTATGTTTTCTTCTATGCATTTTATTGTTTCACGTCTTCTATTCAGGTCCTTAATCCATTTTGAGTTACTTTTGGTGTGTGACGATAGACAACAGTCTAGTTTCATTCTTTTGCAGGTGGCCTTCCAATTTTCCCAGCACCATTTATTGAGGAGGCTTTCCTTTCTCCACTGTATGTTTTTGGCTTTTTTTGTTGAAAATTATTTGCCCATATAAATAGGGATTTACTTCTGGACTCTCGATTCTTTTCCACTGGTCCGTGCGTCTGTTTTGCTGCTAATATCATGCTGTTTTGATTACTGTCACTTTGTAGTATAATTTGAAGTTGGGCAGAGTGATGCCTCCAGCCTCGTTCTTTTTTCTCAGAATGGATTTGGCAATTCGAGGTCTTTTGTGTGTCCATGCAAATCTAATGATTTTTTTGTTGTATTTCTTTAAAAAATGCTGATGGGATTTTGACGGGCATTGCATTAAATCTGTATAATGCTGTAGATAATAAGGTCATTTTAACTATGTTGATTCTTCCAATCCAAGAACACAGAATATCTTTCTATTTTTTTTGTATCTTCTTCAATTTCTTTTAATAGGTTCTTGTAGTTTTCATTACATAGGTTCTTCACATGGTTCGTTAGATTTATTCCTAGGTATTTTATTCTTTTTGGTGCAATTGCAAAAGGAATTATTTTTTCCACTTCTTTTTTTTTAATGCTTCATTATTAGAGTATGGGAAAGCTATGGATTTTTGAACATTGATTTTATTTCCAGAGACTTTACTGTATTTGCTTATTGTTTCTAGTAGTGTTCTTGTGCAGTCTTTAGGGTTTTCTATATAGTGACAGTTTGACTTCTTCGTTTCCTATTTGGCTGCCTTTTATATCTTTCTCTTGCCTGATTGCACTCACTAGGACCTCCAATGTTATATTGAATAAGAACGGTGATAGTGGACAGCCTTGCCTTGTTCTTGATCTTAGAGGGAAGGTTTTTAGTTTTTCACCATTAAGTATATGTTGGCTGAGGGTTTGTCGTATATGGCCTTGATTATGCTAAGGTATTTTCCTTCTATACCAATTTTTTTAAGTGTTTTGATCATAAATGGCTGCTGTATTTTGTCAAAGTCTTTTTCTGCATCTATTGATATGATCGTATGATTCTTATTTTTTAATTTGTTTATGTGGTGCATCGCATTGATTGATTTGCATATGTTGAACCATCCCTGTGTCCCTGGGATGAAGCCCACTTGATTGTGGTATGTAATTCTTTAATATGTTGCTGTATTCAGTATGCTACTACCTTATTTAGGATTTTTTTCATCTGTGTTCACGAGAGATATTGGTCTGCAGTTTTCTTTTTTGTGTGCTATCTTTACCAGGTTTTGGTATCAAGGTGATATTGGCCTCATAAAATAAGTTGGGAATTATTGCCTCCTCTTCAATTTTTTGGAAGAGTTTGAGGAGAATAGGTATTAAATCTTCTTTGAATGTTTGGTAGAATTCACTGGTGAAGCCACTTAATCCTGGACTTTTACTTTTTGGTAGGTTTTTCATAATTGTTTCCATTTCTATACTGCTGATCAGTCTATTTAGATTTTCCAATTCTTCTTGATTCAGTCTAGGAAGTTAGTATTTTTCTAAGTACTGGTCCATTTCTTCTAGGTTATTAAATTTGTTATTTATTTTTCATAGTATTCTTGCATGATTCTTTGTATTTCTGCGAGGTCAGTAGTAATTTCCACTCGTTCATCTCTGATTTTGTTTATTTGTGTTCTTTCTCTTTTTTCTTTAGTGATTCTAGCCTGGGGTTTCTCAATTTTATTAACCGTCTCAAATGGCCAGCTATTTGTTGCATTTATTTTTTCTATTGTTTTTTTTTTGTTTGTTTGTTTGTTTTCAATTTCATTTATTTCTGCTTTAATTTTGATTACTTCTTTCCTTCTGCTGACTTTAGGCCACATTTGTTCTTCCTTTTCTAGTTTTTTAAGATGAAGCATTAGGTTGTTTATTTGGGTTTGTTCTTATTTTAGGAGATAGGCCTGTAATGATATTAACTTTCCTCTTATGACTGCTATTGCCATGTCTCAAAAGTTTTGACATATTGTACTATCATTATCATGTGTTCCTATATATCTCTTGATCTCTCTTTTTATTTCTTCCAAAAAAAAAATTTGTTGAGGCTATCTCTGTGTCCCAGTATGTGGTCGATTCTTGAGAATGTTCCATGTGTACTAGAGAAGAATGTATAAGCAGCTCTTTGGGGATGGAAGGCTCTGTATGTCAATTATGTCCAGTTGGTGTAATGTGTCATTTAAAGATGTTATTTCCGTATTGATTTTCTGTTTGGACGATGTCCATATCCAACAGTGGGGTATTTATGTCCCCTACAATAGTGTTTTGATCTGTTTCTCCCTTTAGTTCTATTAGTGGTTGCTTTACATATTTCTTGGCTCCCTGATTGGGAGTATAGATATTAATGTGTCATGTCTTCTTGGAGCACGATACCCTTTATCATTATGAAGTGTCCCTCAGTATCTTTACCTTTTTTATTTTGAAGTCTATTTTGTCTGATATTAGTATCACTACTCCTCTTTTCTCTGAATGCCATTTGCTTGAAATATGATTTTCCATCTTTTCACTTTGAGTCTATATTTGTCTTTGGAGCTGAGATGTGTCTCCTGGAGGCAGCATATGATTGGGTTTTATTTTATGATCCATTCTGCAACTCTGGGCCTTTTTATTGGTGAGTTAAGTCCATTTACATTTAGGATGATTATTGAAATATGAGATCTTCTTATAGCCATTTTATCTTTTGCTTTCTGGTAGCTCAGTTTTTCATTGCTTCCTTGTCTTTGTGTTTCTGTTATCTTTATTTTGGTTGACTTTTGGGGGTTTTTCCTCTGGTTCTTATGTTTTATGTTATATTCTTCAGTTCTGAATCTTTGATGTGTGGTTACCATTAGGAATATATAAAGGATAGTTATATATATACAGTTGTACATTTTCTTCTGCATGTGCCTTATCTCCTTTCCCCTTTGTGAGTTTGGATCTTTGAATCCTCCCGTTTTCAGTCATTGTTATCTCAATTTGCCCCTATGTATGCTGTATTCTCTACTTATTGTTTAAGCTTACAATGCCCTGTTCTTAGTAAGTATTGCACTCCTCTGCTTTTGTTTGCCTGATAGTCACTTTACTCCTAATTATGTATTTTTGTTTTGTTTTTGTATTTTGTTTTAGGTGAGCTGCCCCCTTTCCTGTAGTACAGACCTCATAGTGGAGAAATCCCTCAATTTTGTATGTCTGGAAAGGTCTTAATTTCTCCTTCATATCTAAAGGAGAGCTTAGCTGGATACATTATTCTAGGTTAGTAGTTCCTTTCACTTAATAGTTTAAATATTTGATTCCATTCCTTTCTGGCTTGTAAGGTCTATGCTGAGAAGTCTGATGATAATCTAATGGATTTTTCTTTAAATATTTCCATCTTCTTTTCCCTGGCTGCCCTAAGAATTTTGTCTTTGTCATTGATTTTTGATAACTTTAATACAATGTGTCTTGGTGAAGGCCTTTTGGGGTTGAGATAATTGGGTGTTCTGTTGACTTCTTGAATTCCAAGCTCTATTCCTTAGATTTGGGATAGTCTCGTCCACTATTTATCTGAAAATGCTTTCTAGTTCCTGCTCCTTTTCCTCCTCTTTGGTAATGCCCATTATTCTTATGTTTCCTCTTCTAAGGCATCAGCTAGTTTTTGTATTTTTCTTTCATTATTTTTCATTCTTTGGTTTCTCTCTTTTCCTTCTGATTTATTTCTAGATTTTTGTCTTCGACATCACCAATCCTTTCTTCCATTTGCTTGACTCTATTTCATTTTTCAATTCTTGCAGTGTGTTCTTCATCTCCAGAAGTTCCATTTGATTCCTTTTGAGGGCTTCAGTCTCCTTGCTCTGATCATCTAGTTGTTTTTTCAATTCCTGAAATTGTTGATATGACTCATTTCAGAGTTCACTGAGATTTTTCAGAAGTACCATCCTGAATTCTCTGTCATTTAAATTTCATATTGCTATGTCTATAAGCTTATTTTCTGGAGATTTTTCTCTTTCTTTCTGAGATGCCTTGTCACCTTGGTTGTTCATGGTTTTTATTGGACTATTTCTCCACCTGGGCATTAATGGAAGTGTATTCTGTTGTTTTTCCAGAAAGATTTATTATATAAAGGTCTCTTTTCCAGTAGGTGGTATCTAAGCCTTTTAAATCCCTGCTTTATATAAAGCCTAAATCATGTCTTTTTTATTTTCTTGTAGATATTTAATCACACTTGCTACTCTCAGTTTCAGTCCCTGTCAGTGGTAGCAACAGTTTTGATAGTATTTGCTCATATTCCACTGGGTCTTCATGGTGATCAGTCTGGGAGGAGATGGGAAAAGGGTCCCTCTGGGTTGGGAGGAGGGGGCTGTGGCTCAGCCTCGGTTTTTCAACCGAGGTCGGTAAAAGTCAATTGTTGTTTCTCTGCGATCCTGTCCCGCTTCTCTGCTTTCTGCCCTGTTGACTGGGCCCTGCTGTCAGGGAAGTCGCCACACCTTCTCCTCTCCTCCTCCTCCTGCAGGGAGCTCCAGAGGCTGTGAGAGGTAGCTTCAGTCTTGGCAGCTTTTGCTCAGATTCCCTTGGGGCTCCGCAGTGATTGGTCTCAGAATGTATAGGGGAAGGCGCCCTCTGGGTTGAGGGTTGGGGGCTGCAGCTCAGCCTCAGTTTTGCAACTGGGACCAGTAAAAATCAACTATTGTTTTTCTGCTGTCCCATCCCACTTCTCTGCTTTCTGCCATGATGACTGGGCCCTGCTGCTGGCTACGTAGTGGTCTCATCACTTCCAGACAGGGCTGATCAGGGAAGTCACCACAATTTCACCCCTCCCTCTCCTCCTATAAGGAGCTCTGGAGGCTGAGAGAAGCAGCTTCTTTATTTCTCCCAGTCCACCTCCCGACACCAGGGTTCTGACCTGTGGTAGTTCTTATGTGCAGATCCCACACCGAGATGTGCTGGTGTGCAGTTTTGGTATTTTTTGTTCAGTTTTAGATGTTCAGCTTATTGTTGTTTCAAGGGGAGAGATCTAGGGACGTCTCTCACTCCGCCATGTTTCCCAGAATCCCTGATTTATTTCTTAATGATTCTGTATATTGCATTGCCTTTGAGGGAGTCTTCATGAATAGTTGTGATTTTGTATTAGATTATATTAACTTAAACAATTTTTTAGATTCTGAAGAAAAGAAGATTTTATTTACATGAAGCAGAAACATAAACTATTAACAATCTATTCCTGATTTTTATTTTTGGTTTATCAATTTCTAAAGTTAAAAAATACTTTTTCTCTACCAACAGTGTCACTGACACAATTTTGTGTGCTTGATAAGTATATGTTGAATGTATAAAGAGCTGAATGGATGAATGAATTCCTATTGAGGAATTTGTTTAGAAAAACAAATATTTAGTTTATTGAAAGAATATGTCTGATATTGCCTACATGTAAAACCTCTTTATTTTTCTAAAAAAGTGTATAATATTCAGAAATTATTATTTAGAATCATAGCTAGAAATGGATTAATACTATTGATTCATTTGCTATCATAGTCCTTCAAAAACATTTCAAAATAAATAATACTTTCCAAACATATTGTGAAACATATGTTTTGAAGCCAGATGTCCTTGGTTTGAATTCTCGATCTGCCATTGACCAGCTGTATTGACTTGGAGAAGTTCCCTTGACTTTCTGTGCCTTATTTTCTTCCTTTGTAAAATATCGAAACTATTGCCTACCTCCCAGAATTTTTTGAGGATTAACATGCCCTTAAAACATGTAAAGTGCCCATAATAATGCCTAATAGTTGCCTGATAAGTCCTCAAAATCTAATATGATTTTTTTAAAGTTTATTTTATATAAGGAGTTAAGTAATATTTTCCAAATAGAAGTTAGTGCCAGTAAATGCTTTTACTTTTTAAATTGAAAATGACAATAAAATACCCTAGTATAGTGCTTCCTCCTATCAAACAATACAAGTAACAACCATTATGTTTTTCCTTTGGCTTTGTCTTTCAACTTGATCTAAATGTAATACATCGTGTTAATATTATTAGCAGTATATTTTCTTTATCCCTTAGTGTTATTCTTTTTACATATTGTTTAACGCCCTTAGAGAAAATTAGTTAGAGATGCAGAGATTTTATATAAGGAACAATAAGTTTAGATAGTCTTTATATTTTAAGTATTTAATATTTACTTGAAAAGAATTGTTTATTTCTCTAGGTCTGCAAAGAAAACATCTAATGAAGAAAACAAGGTATTGTAAAAAAATAAATTATCAAAAATATTACCTGTAAAAAAAAACATGTTGTAAAAGACAGTGAAAAAAATAGAATCTCTTCCTTTGTGGTAGGGACATTTACTTTGAAAGGTAATTTGGAAACACTCATTATTGATAAAAGTCTCTTTTTGCTAAAAATCAGTTCTTTTAAGAATATCTGTGTTTTTGCTTTTATAAAAAGGTGGATATTTAACACCTCTGTACACTTTGTATATATTATCAACACTTCAGGGACATTTTGAAAAACAATATTATTTATTTGTAGGTCAAAGAACAAATTAATTCCATGGATGAACTCGATGATTTAACTCAGTCTTCTGAAATAGTAGCAAGATATTGTGAGTTGCCTTACTTTAGTTATCAAAAATCTATGTTTCTAACTGAACGACTTGACATGAATTGTAAAGGTAGGACCATAGTATAAATATAAAGCCTTGGTATGTATTCAGTAGTAATATAAGCACATCTTGTCTGCTGCCTTTTGCACCATAGATCTCTGATGTGTTGTAGAGCTATATATCTAAGAAACATGTTTTCTATTAAAATAAAATGAGAGCAGTTGCATGCCCTCTGCCTGGAAGCTAAGATCATCTCCACTGTACTTTTCTCAGTGTAAATGGCAGTGTTTAATGTATTTGTTGACCCTGCTTTTCTCCTACGCTTTCACCCAATGTCGGGTTTCAATAATTTACATTCTAGAATACTGAAATAACCTCAGAACTGTTTTCTCTGACATTCTACCTCCTGGAAATTTGGTCTACATTGCAAGCACCATTATTAAATATTTTTAAATTTCAGATCTCATTATGTTACCCCATTACTTAAAGCCCAGCTATTACATTTCTTTGCTATAAACAAGGTTAAAGGCCATAACCCTCTATCTTCATTTTGTATCATTTCATAACCTTCTTTCCAGCTGTGTCTTAGCCAGTTTCTGATGTTTTTATTCCTGTTGCATAGCTTTTTTGTTATCAATGGCTTAGGTTAGGTAAATTACATGTAAATGAAGTATATGTTTTGATAGTTTTACTATACAGATATAACTCTCTCACCACAATCCAGATAGTTAACCTATCCATCACCCCAAAAGTCTCCTCGCGCCTCTTTATACCCCTTATTAAGAGACTGCCTAATGGTTTTCTAAAATAATTATACCATTTTCCATTCCCACCAGCAGTACATGAGTTCCAATGGCTTCATATCTTTATGAACATTTAATATTGTCAGTTTTCAAATCTTAGCCATTCCGATGGATGTGTTGTGTGTATACCATTATATTTTAGTATTCATTTTCCAATAACTAATAATTTTGAGCACCTTTTCATGTGCTTATTTGCCATTTGTATGTCTTCTTTGTACTGTGTCTAAGTTTGTTGTATTTTTAAAAATTAAGTTTTTGTTTAAAGCATTGTTGTGTTTGGAGCATTCTTTATATATTCTGGATACATTACTTTATCACCTATATTTTTTGCAAGGACTTTCTCCCAGTCTATGGCTTGTCTTTTTAGTCTTGTAATAGCATCTTTTGTAGAGTGAAAATTTATTTTTTTCTTTTGATGAAATCCAATTACCCATTTGTTCCACTATAGATTTTGTTTTTGGTGTTCATATCGAAAAAATCTTTGTATAGCACAAGGTCACGAAATCTTTCTCCTATGCTTTTTTTTTTTTTTTGTAGAATTTTATGGTTTTAGGTCTTTCATTTAGATCTATGATCTGTTTTGTGTTCTTTTACATGTGATGCAAGATATAAATTCAAGTTCATTGTTTTGCATATGGATATCTAGTTTTTCCAGCACCAATTGTTGAAACAGCTCTATTTTCCTTATTTAATGCCACTGTGCCTTTGTCAAAATCAGTTGACCATATATGTGCATGTTAATTTATGTCTTATTGATGTATTATGTCTTATTGATATATTACACTAACTGCATGCCATTTTAATGACTTTAGGTTTATAATAGTTCTTGCAATTAGGTAGTGTTAGTCTTTCAATGTTCTTTTCATGATTATTTTGCTCTTCTAGATTCTTTGCATTTCCATGTGAATTTTAAATCAATTTATCAATTCCAAAAAACAAAATCTACTGATGTTTTCACAACTAGATTTAAATTATTAGATCTGTTGACTCTCCAGATTAAATATGGAGAAGAATTGACTTCTAAACAATATTGAATTTTCAAGCCCTGATCAAAGTATATGCCTCCATTTATAGAGTTCTTTAATTTTCTAAGTAAAATTTTGTGTTTTTTAGTTCACCTTTTGTGAGATTACTCATACATTTTTTTTTACCTTTTCAATGCAGTTCTAAACAATATATCTCAAATTTTAATTTATGATTGTTCTCTGCTAATATAAAAATACAGTTGATTTTTGTATATTGATGCTGTATTCTTCAATTATGTTAAACTCGGTTTATAGTTCTAGTAGCTTTTTTGTAGATCCTGTCAGAATTTCTACGTAACCAAAGGTTGTCAATCTTTTTTTTTAAGCGACTGTTTTACTAAAGATTTGTAAGCATTTAAGACTTGTGACCATTGTGCCATAGAGTAGCTATAGACAATACATAAGTTAATGTATATTAACTTATTTTGTGTATTTTTCTCAAACTGTGTTTACTAAAAGAAACATCCTGACCCACTGGTTGGAGTGTGCTGATTCCTATTGTGTTATCATGTTTTCTGCTAATAAAGACAGCTTTATTCTTCCTTTCCCAGATGGATGTCTTTTGTTTCTTCATCTTGCTTAATTGCACTGAGTAGAATCTCTCGTATAGTGCTGAAAAGAAGGAGCAAAAGCAGTCATTCTTGTCTTGTTCCTGATCCCTTAGAGAAAGAATTCAGTCTTTCACTACACATAGGTTGTTAGCTATAGATCGTCTTATCATATAGAAAAAGTTCCCTTGTGTTCTGTTTGCTGAAATAGATGTTGAAATAGAAATAGATGTTGAATTTTGTCAACTGTCTTAGTTTCACTCTACTGAATATGGTTTTGCTTTTTTAGTTTTTTAACATGACAAGTAACATTAACTGCTTTTTTACTTTGAATAAATGACAGCTTAATTGATTTATAATTCATATATTGTACAATTCATCAATTTAAGGAGTACAATTTAGTAATATTTATTGTTTTCACCGAGTTGTACAACCATTTCCACAATCAATGTTAAGACATTTTCATCACCCGCAATAGAAACCCCAAACTCAATTGTAATTACATTTTAAGACAAATTTAGGATTTTTCTTCTAAGAAGAAATACATTTTTCCTCTTCAGGAGAGAAGGCAGGATTCAGTCCTACATTTCTACTCTGAAAGAGTGCACTTAAACAAAACAAAAAGAAGCTTCATTGCTTATAGGTTTTGAATATGTGTTTAGCAAAATTTGACTTTGCCAGTGGTAAATCGGTCACACTGGGTGCCACAAACATATCCATCTAGTTGTACTCTTAGTGAAATAATCAACAAAATTATTTCAATGAGGCAGTTGATGATGCACTCCTCCCACTCCACTGGAAATTTCCTTCCCTACGATTATAGGATTTGTTTCTATCTTTTAATTAAAAATTTATTTTGAACTGTTGTGGAAAGATCTTTTTATTCATTAAATTTCTTAGTAACATTGTTTAGTAACATAATATAAAGTTCAGGTGTACAGCTATATAATACTACCTCTGTGTATTCTATAGGGTGCACACCACTCGATGTCTAGTATCCTATGGTCAGCATGTATTTGACCCTCTTTACCCTAATTGATTTTTGAGTGTTAAACCAACCCTGGGATAAACCCCATTTGGTCATGACAATTTGTTCTTTTAATGGATTCTTGTATTTGATTTGCTAATGTTTTATTTAAAATTTTTACCTCAAGGCTCATGTGGTATTTTTTCTTTCTTATAATATCTCCATCTGTTTTTGATTTCAGGGTAACACTAGCCTTATAGAATGTGTTGGATTACGCTTCTCAAAGTCGTCTTCTTCTTCTTCTTTTTTTTTTTTAGAGTTTGCATAGAACTGGTATCATTTCCCACTAAAATGTTTGGTAGCATTCACTAGTGTAGCCTTTGGGCCTCAAATTTTATTTATGGAGTGATAATTAAGTAGGACTTCAGTTTCTTTTATAGCTCTAGGGCTGTTTATCTTATCTGTTCTTTCTTGATAGAGCTTTATTAATTTCTGTCTTTCAAAAAATTTACCTGCTTCATCAGAGTCTGATGTCTTCCACATTGTATGTACTGAGTACATATTTGTTCAACGTATGAATGTGTGAAAATGCATACTGCTTTATACACAAAAAGAACTTATATTTTATTTCTACTCTTGTTTTCTCTCTGATGCAGATTCTCCTAGTTTATCAAATATCCAGGATGCAGTTACATCATATGAAAGATTGAAAGAGCTTAGAAACAATCACTGTGAACTCCATTCAGAAAAAATTAAAAAAATGAACACTCAGATAACTGGACTACAAAGGGATCTATCAGAAACAAAAGAAATGAAATCACAGTTAGAGCATCAAAAACTGCAATGGGAACGAGAACTCTGCAATTTGAGGTATTGAACATTTTGGTTTCAAAGAAACATTTGAATATTTACTATTTAAAAACATTTTTTAAATTTTTGAATCATAGGTGACATACATTATTTTTTGATCTGTTGAAGTGACATTGGTTAATAAAATTATATAGATTTCAAGTGCACAATTCAATAATACATTATTTGTATATCTCATTGTGTGTTTATCACATAATGTCAAATCTCCTTCAGTCACCATATATTTGACCCCCTTCACCCTTATGTACCTCTACCTTATGTTCCTTTTTCTTTGGTAACCACTAAACTGGTTGTCTGGGTCCATGATTTTTTGTTTGTTTGTTGCTTTCAGTAGTATATGCCACATATGAATGAAATCATATGATTTTTTCAACTTATTTTGCTTAGCATAATTACCTTAAGCTTTATCTATGTTGTCGCAAATGGCAGTATTTCATGTTTTTTTAAGGCTGGCTTAGTAATATATCGTTGTATATATGTACCAGGTCTTCTTTATCCTGTCAGCCATTGGTGAACACTGAGGTTGCCTCCATATCTTGGCTATTGTAAATAGCACTACAAAGTAAATATGGATGCACATGCCCCTTCTAAGCAGTGCTTTTTGGGTTTCTCTGAATAGCCAGAAGTGGGATTATTGGTTCATTCTTCATAACATGTCTTTGTTTAGCCTTTGTTTTAAAGTCTATTTAGTTTTATATGAGTTATTGCTAATCTAGCTTCTTTTTTAATTTCCATTTTCATGAAACATTTTTCTCACCCCTTTACTTTTAGTCTATGTGAATCATTCAGTCTGAAGTGATCCTCTTGTAGACAGCACATATAAGAGTTTTATTTTGTTATCCATTCACCCATTCCATATCTTTTGATTGGAGCATTTTATTCATTTATATTTAAAGCAATTGTTTATAGATATGAAGTTATTGCAATTTTAGTGTTCATAGTTTTGCTCTATTTTCTTCTCTTTCTTTTTAAAAAGAAAAGTCTCTCTGACATTTCTTGTATACCTGTTTAGAAATGATGAACTCTTTCAGCTTTCTCTTGTCTGGGAAGGTCGTTATCTGTCCTTCAATTCTAAATGAGAGCTTTGCTTGATAGAGTAATCTTGGCTATAGGTCTTTGCTTCTCATCACTTTGAATATTTCATGGAAGACTTTCTGGCCTGCAAAGTTTCTATGGAGACATCAGATGAAAGTCTAATGAGAGCTTCTTTGTAGATAATGGACTGCTTTTCTTTTGCTGATTTTAAGATTCTCTTTGTCTTTAATCTTTGGCATTTTAATTATGATGTGTCCTGGTGTGGGCCCTTTTGGATTCATCTTGTTTGGGACTCTCTGTGCTTCCTGAGCTTGTATGTCTACTTTCCTTACTAGATTAGGGAAGTTTTCCATCACTATTTCTTCAGATAGGTTAGCAATTCCTTGCTCTCACTCTTCTTATTTTGGTACCCCTGCAATGTGAATATTGGTACACTTGTTGTTGTCCTAAAGGCCACTTCAACTATCCTCATTTTTTTGGATTCATTTTTCTATTTCTGTTCTGTCTGAATGTTTTCTGCTCCTTTGTCTTTCAAATCTCTGATTCGATCCTCTGCTTCATCTCATCTACTGTTGATTCTTCCTAAGATATTCTTTATTTCAGTTATTGTATTCTTCATTTCTGACTGGTTCTTGTTTATGCTTTCTATTCCCATTTTTATATTTTCTATCTCTTTGTTATAGTTCTCAATGAGTTTATCTACTCTTCCCCTAAAATCATTGAGCATTCTTACAATCAATGTTTCAGACCTTGTATCTGGTACATGGCTTTTCTCCCTTTTGTTGAGTTCTTTTTCTGGAGTTTGTTCTGTTTATTCATTAGGGAGATATTTCTTTGTCTCTCCTTTTGTCTGCCACTTCTGTTTGTTTGTTTGTTTGTTTGTTTGTTTCTATGTATTAGGTAGAGCTGCTGTTTTTTCCAGTCATAATACAGCGGTCTAATATAGTAGGTTTCCTGTAGGGACCAGTGGCATAGTCTCTCCGTGGTGACTTGAGCTGGGTGTTCTGGGTGTGTCATTTATATGGGCTGAGTGCACCCTCCTGTTGTTGTTAAGCCTTGGTTGCTATTTGCATGTAAATGGAAAGGATTGATCCTCAGTCTGATAGGTTGTGAGAACTGGCTGTGACTACAGTGGAGGTGCTGTTGTGCAGGGGCTGACCCTACAAAACAAGATTTACTTTAGCAGGGTTCAGGTGCCTGCCAATTCTCCCCATTGGGTGTTCTGGTGTGCTCCGAAGCTGGCCATCAAGCAGATCGGTTCTGGGGCCCTTTGAGTAGGGCTCTGTTTCAAGCTAAAATCAGCCATTGCCTGTGCCCTGCTTGGGACCAGTTGGTATGAGCTACAAAGTCATCTGCAGATGGTTGTCATTTATGCTTGGGTTGGAGGTGCCTGGGATAGGTTAAGCATCAGTGAGAGGCCAGCTGACACAAGTTCTGGGCTTGGGGCTGCTTAACAAGAGGTACAGGGTACGTACGTTGAGGGCAGATGTTGCTTGTTTGGGTTTGAGAACCTTTGAGAGATTTTTGGAAAATCTGGAGAATGAGCAAGATAGACCGTTTGTATGGAAAGCCACTGGAAGGAACTTAGGTATGCTCAGAATTTCAGTGGGGTAGGGTCTCAGGGAATCACCAGGGTAGTGCAAACAATGTTTGCCAGGTCGATGGAGACTCAGATATGGTGACCACTGTGTCTGCAGGCTGGGAGAGGGGAAGCCTCAACAAAGAAACAACAATTTCTGGCAGCACTTCTATCTGGGGAAAACTTCCCCTCCAGTTTTTGCCCTAAAACCAGATAATTCAGTTCCTCTCCAAATGTCCGGACATATTTCAAGCTGCTACCTCAGTGCTAGAGCTCAAAGCAAGTGAATCTGTCAGCGAGTAAGTCCATATTTGGACCCTTTAAGAGGAACACCTGGTACTCTATCAACCCTCCATCTCACTCAGGCACAATCATCACCGGTTTTCACAGCCAGAATTAGTGGGGACTTCTCTTCCTGGCTCCTGGACCCTGGGCTGGGGAGCCTGGTATGGGGCTGGGACACCTCACTCTTCAGCAGAGACCTCCTCAGCCAAGATATCCCTCTTGATTTTGAACTGCCACACATGGTCGTTGTACCAGTCGCCATTTCTCACTCTCCTACTAGTCTCGAAGTGGCTTCTTTTGTATATCCTTAGTTGTAGGAGGTCTGTTCACCTAGATTTCAAGCAATTCTCAGTGATGTTTGTTCTGTAGTTTAGTTGTAATTTTGGTATGATCGTGAGAGGAGGCAGGCATGACATCGACCTAGTCTGCCATTTTGACTGGAAGTTGAAGATTAACTTTTATACTACAGATATACAGGAGACGTTTTGTAATTACTAAAATGCTTTCTGGGATTTTATAGGGAAGAAAATTTCTTTAGTATTGTGCAGTATAAAATTCCTGAAAATAATGTCAAGTTTTTAACAGTGTATACTTCTAATAATAAGTTCATGTATATGCTTTCAAATCATCATTTAAATGGCCTAATAGAAGTCCATCATATAAATACCTCATTCTTTAACAAATTGAATTTGGGTTGTTTGTCATTTTTCTGTAGTATAATTAATGATGCAAAGATTATCTCTTATATAAATGTTTTAACATTTCTGATTATGTACTTTGAATGAATTCTTTAATAGAGTATTTTTTGGTTGAAGTATAAGTATGTTTAAAAAAAGGTCTTTAATCCACATTTTCAAAACGTTCTCAAGAAAATTGAAATTCACTTACATCCCTACCAACAGAATCTGAAATGGCTAGTTTTCTCAAGACAGGAAAAATTCCTTAAAGAAACTTTTGCAGTTCTAGTCTTAGTATATGCATGGAATGAAAAGTGAAATGGAAATTGATGACTGATTAGTTTATTCAGCATTATCTTATACATAGATAAAATTAATTCAAAGATCTATGCTGAAAGCAAATATTACACTTTCCTGTTGACTTAATTAATATGAATTCTGCCTTTTTCCAAAAAGGATTTTAAAGTCATTTATAAAATAGACGATAATCAACAAGATAAGTTGAAAGTGTTACAAAAGAAGAAACATAGAGTGTAGAGCGACAAATATTAGACTCCCTACTCTAGTCTTGGATTACACTAGTCAGCAGATGTGTTGTTAAAAGACATCTATAGATGCTGTCTTACACTGTAAATATTTTTTTAGGGGTATCTTATATTTTGTAAAATGGAAATTTTATTTCTAGTGAATATGTAAACTTGCTTATAAACATGACTTCTCTTTTTAATGAGTAAATAAATTAATTATCTGTTTTAATAGAGACGTAAGTATGACTGTGGAAACAAAGATAATTTTCCACACTACCTTTAAGGAATAATTTCAAAATTCCTTTTCTACAATATTTACGAGCATTACTATTGACTAAAAGTAAGTAACGTTTTTTTCAATGCTACCTTTCAGATTATATATATATAATCCTTGGAAAAGATTGAATTCAGAAATAAAAACATGATCTCCAGATAGGAAAAAACTTTGAGAAATTAGAAATTTATTATGGTAACGATCCAACATATGTAGAACCAGATCATGATATAAACTTTATTTTATAACCAAATGAATTTTAAGATAAGATTATTTAACTACAGATTTACCTTACGACAAGAAAAGGAAAAAAGAAAAAATACTGAGATGTTCTATAAAAGAATTAGGGAACAGTTAAGAACAAAAGAAGAGCAATATTGTAAAGAAGTTGAAATAAAACAACAGCTTGAAATCTCTCTTAGAACACTAGACTTTGAATTGAAAACTGTAAGAAACCATTTCAATCAGGTAAATTCATCTTTGCTAAAAAATTTATATTTTTCCATACTTTATCAATATTTTTAATATCTTTTGATTTGTCTATTGTTTAAGTTTAAAACAAACCAAAATGTTATCTCATTCAAAATGTGAATAGTGACATTTGAAACAAAACTGATTAATTTGTTGTAATTCTTGGCATCCAATAGGGGCCCTGTATAAGTTCTCTAAATGACTAAATGGAAGGTAAATTTAGCTTAATTATTAGCATACATGTTAATTTGGGCTTTTTTTTTTTAATGATGACATGCAGACTAACTGGCCTTGAGACTGTGATGGAACTAGTCAAATCTTCCATAAAGAGGCTTTATTTTGTAATACTATAGCTGCCTGTATTTTTGCTGTACGACAAATCTAGCTGTCATTTAAATTCAAATTTGAGTTTTTCATGGAGGATAAAGATCCTTGTACTTAAAATTGCTTCATTCTTTAAATATTTTTTAAGGTTCTACTTTTGAGCTTTTGATTTTTTTCTAATTGTATGAAACTAAAAACCTACTGACATGTATATCTAGGTTGTAGAAGTGCAAAATACCACTCAGAAGCAACTTTCTCGAGAACAGAATGCCAGAATAGCACAAGATGCAATCCTGACCAATCATCTTTGCAAACAAAAGGAGATAGAAATAGCTCTCAAGAAAATAAATTCTAAGGTATTTTGTTTATTCATTTTCAAAAGCATGTGTGTATGTATTTGTGTGTTTATATATTTAAAAACCCAGCACTGTACATATGGGAAATATAGTGGATTTTAAAAGCATACATAGGCATGTATGTATTTGTGTCTATACATATGTGTGTATCATATATACACATACAGCATATATGTATACATATGTATATATATTTATTTTAAGGGGTGATATTTTTGGTCCATTGGATAAAATATATTCTTAATTCAAATCCACTTTATTCCAGCAGTCAAGTGTTGACATTTCCAGTGGTCTCATCCAAAGGGGAGGTTTTTAATATTTTCCATAGGAATTGATGAGCTTTTCAGAATCTAAAATCTATTTGTACTAACAACAATGTTCCCAGGTTTTGGCAATGATTTCATTCCCTGGCTATATTAATAGAAAGGGTAGCTTTCGCTTCCACTGATAATAAGGAGAAAAAGTATAGCCAGTTCAGAGACCATAATTTAGATGTCATTCTCCTGCTTTCAAGAAAATAACAATTTGCTCCAACTAATATTCCTATTTCAGTCCAAGAAGCTTATGAAAAAATAATATGACATGATGTATTCTTAGTGATAATATATTGATAATAATTTTATTTGTAGTAAAAAATAAGTCAGTGTATTTTCCCCTATTTCATATTTATTACCACTTTAAATATTAATTTGTTGTAATTCTTGGCATCCAATAGGGGCCCCGTATAAGTTCTCTAAATGACGAAAGAGGAAATTAAAGTTATTGTAGCCACAAATAATCTCTTGATTTTCTAAGAAGAGCTCTATGAATTTTACCTTATTTACCATGAGCTTTTTTAAATATATGCTTCTTTGTATTTATATATTTACACTAGAGAAGCAGCTGTGGTTTGGTGCAAAAGCACTAATTGTAGAGTCAGAAGGCCTGGGGAAAATCTTGAACTGTCTTATCTTTTTAACCTCTCCATTCCAGATTATGCTAACTGAGTTCTTTGATGTATATAGAAGTGCTTAGTGCAATGCCAAGATTTATCAGTTGTTAATAGATATGATTTTTATAACTGACTAAAAGTATTAGAAAAGTAGAATGTGTATGGAATAGTCCTAGGGGAAAAAAAATTAAGAAATAGGATCTGTCCAAATATATGCAGAGTTAATATGTTTACTGTAGGGTAGCTGTATATCGAGACTATAAACTCTATTTTTAAGTGTAGTCAGATATATTAACCTTTTATTTTAGGTCTTCTAGGTTTTTTGTCTTTCCAATTATGAGACTTAAAAATTCTTCTATGATTTCTTTTCTACATTCATAGATTCAGTGTCTTATGTTAAATTTTTAAACTTTGGGTATTTTATGCTTATATTAAGTTGGAGGACTTGAACCAACTTAATTTTTTTTCCCAATGGTATATCCACATACTAAAACCTTTTCATGATATATATACATACGTTCTTCTTTAATTTCAGGGAATACCATGATATATCATTTCATTGAGTGCTAGCTACAAGTCTTCTTTATTTTCCTTAGGTTTCTGATACTCATGAAAAAGAAAAAGATATGTTGCATGAAAACTACATGTTGCAGGATGCAATTGCCATGCTAAGACTGGAAATAGACACAGTAAAAAATCAGAAGCAAGAGATGGAACAAAAGTGTTTGGGGGACATTATACTTGTACAAAAAAAGAACAACCGTCTTCAAAAGACCATAAAATTGTATGAGAAAACACTAACAAAAACAATATTTCAATATAATGGACAGCTTAATGTTCTGACAGCTGAGAAGTCAACACTAAACTCTCAACTTGCGAAAGAGAAACAAAACAAAGAAAGACTGGAAACTGAAGTTGAATCCTACCGTTCTAAACTGGCTAGTGCTATACATGATTATGAGCAAAGCCAGATGTCAAAAAATGACCTAGAACTTACTTTCCAGAGAGGAAGACATGAATGGTTTCATTTTCGGGACAAAATGAACTTTGATATGTCTCACCTGAAAGATAAAAATGAGATTCTTACTCAACAACTTTCTAAAGCTGAAAGTAAATTGAATAGGCTAGAAACTGAGCTCCATTACACAAGAGATACTCTCAGAGAAAGGACTTTGGTTTTAGAACATATACAAGCAGACGAAAGCCAAACACAGTGTCGAAAGAAGGAAATAGAATACAAGTATCAACATGAACAAGGTAAAGCGAACGAACGCACTGGAAAGCAGGAATCCTTAGAGGAGAGATTATCTCAGCTACACAACGAAAATGTGATGCTTCAACAGCAAGTAGATGATGCTCACGGCAAAGCTGACAATAAAGAAAAGACAGTAATTAATTTCCAAGAACAGTTTCAGGATATGATAAAAATACTTCAGGCCGAAAGTGAAAAAGAAAGTCATATGCTAGAAGAAAAAAATCAGGAGTTAATCAATGAATTGCATCATTTGAAAGAAAGAATGTATCAGCATGAAAATGATGAAGAAAGAGAGGTAATTATCCAGAAAGATAAATATTTTTCAAAATTTCTGAAAGAAAATTCCAAGTAATATTTGATTATGTCTAAATAGTGAATCTAGTTAAATTTTCAACACATACAGATTGTAAATGTTTTTCTAAGCAGGACAGGATTCCTCTGTCATTCTACTCCCCTCTGTGGGAGACGCTACCAATGATTTAAGGTCAGAAGAGTGTATTGTGAACCCTAAAGTTGGAGCATTGAGGTAGATGCACCTACCGACTAGTTCTTTTCAGTCACAGTACCTAGGTCCATGCTTTTTCATTTTACAGATATATGTATAAGAGAAAATAAAAGATTGTGTTGATAGCCCTTCTTGTTGCTGAAGAAACTTTGAAAATTATTATTTTTCTAAACTTCGTATAAATTAGTCACATTGTGTTAGCATACTTTTCATATAAGCGTCCAGATAATATGTTGCTAAGGAGTCTTTCTTGTCTGGAATGCCAGGAGTTGTCACCTTACAGTTTCATAAAGAAATCTATTAAGATATCAAAAATGTTAAATTTGTAAGCATGACCAAAACTAATTAAGCTTATGCAAAAACAATGAGGGATTTTCTGTAGAGTCCTATAGAAATGAGTTATGATTATGACACAGATTTATTAGCCACTATAAAGCTACCTTGTGAACCAAAAATTTTAATTAGAGACAGATTTCATCCAGATTAATCAATAACCCTAACAAATCTAAAAGGTTCTCATCTCATGACTCCCCAGGCCAGATCTTACATGGATTAAGGTATTTCATCCACACAATGTTGAGGTGAGGAATATGGATTGGGAAGAGGAGGGATCTCTAGCTGACGCAAGCCTTCAAACAATGTAGTTGAGTAAGCATCTGAAAGGAACTTCAGAAGAAGACTTCAATAAGCCAGGTCAAGTCTCTATGGAATAGAAAATGACTCAATAAAAACGCCAGTAATTGATAGTCTGACACTTGTGAAAAGCTTTTACATTCTTAGAGATTAACAGGGCAAAATATACTGGCCAAAGTCCTGAGGGGGTGCTCCCAAGATCAGTAAATAACACTACACTCAAAGCAGCACCAATAATATTCAATATAAAATGTACAAGATTAGCTAATCCATACTGAGCAATTATTTAAGCGTATGTGGTTGAGGATATTGCCTGTGAGGAGTTAGAAGGGAGTAAAAAAAAGAACAAAAGACCTCAGTGATGGGTTCAAGGCTTGACATACAGTTTAGGGAATCTGGTTCAAAGCGTTGAGATGTAAGAAACTCTGAGAGAATGTAAAAGAGGAATAGAAAGGGTCCAGGACTGAACATCACAGCTGCCGTTGTTTAAAAACAATTTGGGGTTTAGAGGAGCAGGGAAGTGTAGTTACTATTGTCAATTACTGCTGAGAAGTAAAGCAGGATAAGGATGAAGAAAAAGATGACCTCAAAGAATTTTTAGTGCAATTATAGGATTGAGAATCAGACTCATGAAAAAAAAGAGACTAAGTGATGAAAATATGAATATGTAGATGAGACCATTCACTTAAGAATATTAGAATTCTGTGGAAGGAGATAAACAGGATTATAGAAAAAGCTACAAGAATCAAGAAAAAGTTATGTATTTATATAATATAGTGAAGAATTAAACTTTAAAGAGAAAACTATTAAATAAAAAGGGAAATTGAAACATAAATGAATACTTACAGTGAATGACAGTCTTTGTCTCATCTGAAAGTCAGATTATCATTATAACGTAATGGGAACATATTTCGGTTATTACACTGACTAGTAGTTTTTCAACTATTAAAATTCAAATCATATGTCTCCTTGCCAATCTTTCTTATCCTCTAAGCAGAGGGAGCGTTTTAAAGCTGATACCTGCCTCGTTGATATTGAAGGGAGAAATCCAAGAAAAATTTTTATTTCTGTCCTAGTTATCTGCTTCTTCTCATTAGCATTGTTTGTCATTATTAAATTGATCTTAACATGTATTAGATTCCACTTTAAAGGCGACTACAGGCATACCTCAGTGAGGTTCCCGGTGTGGTTTCAGACCCAAGCAATTAAGCATGATCACAATAAAGTGAGTTACAAGAACTTTTGGTTACCCAGTGCATATAAAAGTTATGTTTACACTATGCTTTAGTCTACTGATTCTGCAATAGCATCATGTCTTAAAAAACAATATACATACCTTAATTAAAAAACATATTATTGCTCAAAAATGCCAACCATCAAACTAGCCTGTTGGAAAAATGGCTCCAATAGACTTGCTAGATGCAGGGTTGCCACACACTTTCAATAAGTAGAGAACTGCAATATCTGTGATGCACAATAAGGAAAGTGCAATAAAACAATGTATGTCAGTAATTTCTACTATATGAGTTATGTTTCTTATTATCTCTTTTTTAATCCCAAAAAGGTTTATCTGTTTTTTCCTGATGAACTGTCCAAAGTTTAGTGCCTTAAATAGACAACATTTACTTTGTTCACAAATTGACACTTAGGTATAAGTGCAGCCAGGACTTATACCTAAGCTTGTCTCTGTGCCCCTCAGCTTCAACTGGGGCAGCTGGCTGGTGCCTGGAATCATTTGAAGGTTTGTTCACCACCATGTCTGGTGATTGATGCTGACCATTGGTTGGAACTTTGGGAAAGACAGCCAGAATACCTACGCTGGAACACCTGGGCTCTCATTATGGACCTCACTACATGGGGGCTGAGTGCCAAGGTTAAGCAGCTTGAGATACAGAGCCAGGCAGAAGCTGTGTTGCTTTCTCTAAACTGGCTTAGGAATTCACACAGCATCACTTTCACCACATTCTGTTCTTTAGGAGCAAGTCACTAAGGTTGACCCATATTCTACCTTGTGTATGGAATGAATATTTCAAAAATATATGGACACATTTAACAATAAGCTTAATCTAACCACTGGCCATAATTGTTTCTATGCCTCCCATGTGAAAAAATACACCAATCTCTACCTAATACCACTACAGTTGTCAATGATTATGATGTCAGGCTCAGGCCCAAGTCCAAGATTTTACCATCTTAATCAGGTGTAGACAGAGATGAAGTGCCTAGGGTGTGGTTGCTGGAGTAAAGCCCCCTAGGGTACAATTCCTTTCAGTATGAAGACGTGAGAACCAAAGAGACAAGTTATCTGCCACCCACACACCCAAAATTCTTCTAAACGACTAAAGACTCCCATTTGGAAATGGAAAATGGGAGGCACACTCAGCCATAGAAATTCTGAAATAAAGCCTGAGGTGAAACTACAGTGCTTTGATGAGGACTTAGTCTTAGCCTCAGAATAGCCTCAAGGCTAAAATCCTCTAAAGGTTGGTCATGCACATGTTTGGCAGCTGAAGCTGGGACGTTAGCTGAGGCCGTCTCAGTTGGAACATCTATAGGAGAACTGACTGTGTGCCCTGGGCTTCTTCATTCTTCACAACATGGTAGCTGGGTTCTAGGGTGAGCTTCTCTAGAGATAGAAAGTCAGATGGAAGTTGTATCACATTTTCTAATCCAGACATAGAAGTCACACAGCGGATCTGCCATATTCTATTCACTAGAAACCAGTTACTTACTAAGGCCATCATGCATTTAATAGAAGGAAATTTTATAAGTATCAAAGGATTTGCAGACTTGTTTTGAAAATACCACATCTACTCACATTTTTTTTTTATGAAATAAGCATTGTATCTAAAGGCAAGTAGTTCTTTTCAACTCAGTATCATTGAATTTACAGCAAAATTATTGTTGTTGTAACTTTTCTTTAGTATGTTCACTTATTTTGTGTGATGTAATAAAGGATTACAAGATAATGCTATTGAATTCAGGCATTTTTTTCTGTTTGACAATATGTGGGAGTCATCCCACTAAATTTTTATACCAGGAAATGTGATTCATCCATAATACTGGAAATCATTTCTTCACGGAATCAAATTTAAAATTAGCACAAAGCATTTGTAGTTTAGTAAATGGCTTGTGGCAGAGAATCCATATTTATAAGATTCATTAATCAGAGTCTTATTTTAAAAGTCTTATTTTGAGTGGCATTTATTGACTGAGGCCTAAATTACTCCATATGATAACCCTAAACTTCTTTAAAAATTATCGACTGTTGGATGGGGGAAGAGGTGAGAGACTTTCTACTAAAATGTGATTTATAATCATTTTATGGAGGAAAGATGTGATAAGGTCAGGCAAGAAATTATGGAAAATCAAGTGTGGATTATCTGCGGCAAAGACGATGACAGGAAAGGATGTGTTTTTGTGCCTCCTGGTCATTTTAACTTTGTTTCTGATTCTGCATAATTCAAGGTTCCACATTCCAAGACTCCACCACAGTACAGATCACATTTCATTGCAATTGAATTTATTTCATAAGTTAATACTTGTTTTTGAGTTAAGTTATTCTCATAACCAAATTCTATTATCTTATTCATGCAGAGTGGTGATTTTCCAGCAAAACTGGAAACTGCATCTTCAAAATGTTTACGTCTAGGTGAAGAAAATCAGTTTCTCCATCAGCGGTTATTATCCATGAAAGAAATACAAAAGAAATGTGGAAAACTAGAGAATGAAAACAAGAAGTTGAAACAAGAATTAGTAAACCTTAAGAGTCACATAAAAAAGAATATGGTAAAATACAGTGAAGTTGAACAGTATAAACAAGAGATTGAAGAAAGAGCAAGACAGGAAATAGTCGAAAAATTAAAAGAAGTTAATCTCTTTTTACAGGTTAATTATTTTGCTCTTTAATGTGCTTTAATTCATTTCACTGCACATTACATTTTGGGTACTCACACTGTATGTGTTTCCTCTACTTCCCTTAATAGCAATTTGTTTTGTAGATTTGTGGAAGAACGAGGCATTTGTTTCTCCCTTTAAATATTTCATTTTCCACATTTCACCAAAAATATTGATCTCAGAATGTTTCTCCCTGGAGAATCATTTTATTTTCAGACCTGTTGATATGAAATAAGAGTATTAGAAATAAAAGAACATTTGTGATTTAAAAATTGTACCATTCTCTTTATTAAATATTATTGTTCAATTTTTAACATTTTAAATTGATGCTGTTCTTTGAATTATCAGGGAGCAGGAGACTAAAAGTAGACTATTTGACTTTATTTTCATAATTCAGATTTAATTCAGTTGACATTGTTGATACATATTTTATACTTAGGTTTTTTTTTACATTTCAAGTTGCTCTCTGAATCACTGACTCAGAACCAAAGGAAATGAATATACTCTAATTATTCAGGATATACTTATTTCAAATGATTCCTTTTTATTTGCATTAGGCACAAGCAGCATCTCAAGAAAACTTACAGCAGTTAAGAGAGAAAAATAATGCTTCAATAAGAAGTCAAATGGAACTCAGAATTAAAGATCTGGAATCTGAACTCTCCAAAGTAAAAACTTCTCAAGAAGATTCTAATAAAATGCAATTGGAAACATATAAGCAACTCTACCTAGAGGAACTGAAAGTTAGAATGTCATTGGAAAGTAAACTAAATGTGTAAGTCAAAGCATGGAATCAGAGAAAATAAATTTAGCTCATAATTTGCCTCTAAAGCATAATTTTTAATGAACCAGGTTCACGAGATTAGTATAAAGTGAAAGCTAACTAAATATAATAATCTTGGAAAATTATGTCAGAAAACAAACTTGCCTTTAAATGTTAGTCCAGGACAGTTTGCATTTCTGCTCCATTTTTGTTTTGACATGACTATTTCCTCCCCTTTTTATATTTTCATATAGTAAACATGATCTAGTCTTTAAGCTAAGTGTTTTTGAAGTTTTATAATTTAGATGGCAATATTATTATAAAATTTTCTGTCTGAATTCTGCTAAGTAGCAATTTTAACGAGTTTAATTATTTTTTTGAAGACAACAGCTTAAACCCAAAAGGTTAGGTGCTCTGAACATTCTGGCTCTTGGTAAATGTACAAAGATTGTGATCTTTGTTATAATCACTAGAGGGTGTCTTGAGAAAACTGATCCTTTCTAGTTTTTCTGGCATACCTAATGGCATACACATGAAATAGGGAAAAATGAGCACAGGGGTAAAGTGCCCTATAATTGACAAAATGGCTAAAAATAATAAGGTGGCCTCTCTGAGGATGGGGGTGTGGGTTGTAGAGGACAGAAAGGGCAGATCCCACTGCCAATTCTTTGGTAAAGATGTGATAAGCTAATTGCCTCTGGAGTTGTTTTGGTTCATTTTGATCATCAACTAGGCTATCTGGTCTCCCCTAGAGGCTGTTGCTCTAAATTATGTCCAGTCCAAATGGTTAATTTCTCCAAGATAATGAGTATATGGTACAAGAGTGGGGAAAACACATGTTTGGAAATGCCTTAGAGGGATTTTTTAAAAATCTCTAAACTGGTTTATTACATATGCCTAATGGTACGCTCAAGAAGCTCGTAAGTACAGCCATTCCTGAAGGCACCAAGTATCACGTGAGAAGCTGTCTGCATCACTGATCGCCATTCCTCTCCCCTCCCTACTTTGAATTGATTATTAGTTAGTAATCCCCCTAGAAACCTATGTACTTGTTCAGAACAATTGTAAACCTATACAGGTATATAGGGGTCTGCTCTGACATATTTTCAGTATTAAAATTCTGTTAGGTAAGAAATTTCACTTACTATTATGGCAACTTAAAAAAAAATGCAGGTCATTAGGGAAGAATGAAATACTAAGCCTGTGTTTTTTACAATCTTCACAGGAAAAATGAAAAGCTAGCAGAGATCAGTTCCGAACTTCTAGAGAAACAGCAGAGCAGAACTTTACTCTGCACTGATATTACAAGGCCAGTCCTGGAGCCACCAGGTGTTGGAAGTCTTAATCATAGTCTCATAAGCCATAGAAATCTTGCTCCAAGAGTAAACTTGGTGACTTCTGCCTCAACCCCATGGACTTCAAATAATAGCATGGACGCTTACTTTACCAAGGTTGGTTATATTACCTTCTTTCCCTTGGGTTTCAGATTTCTGATTATGTTTTGTTGATAATTTGGTGAAATGCTGAGTTGTTTCCTTGATGAATGCACACTAAGTAAAAGTCATAATTATGTGTGCTAATAAAGAAAGGAGACAGAAACTTTGTAATATTTCTGAAGTCCCTGAATCTCTCATGTTCAAGAGGTACCTATCATTAACTATTCAGTAAACATAACTAATCAGACACACTTTCAGTTTCATGAAAAGCTGTCTTTATATTCAGTTTTAGAAATTACAATAGAGTAAAATGGAATACTTGGTGATGCTTTGGGTTACTTTCTAAGTGATTTTAATTTGGTGATGGTTCAAAACAATTTTAAAATTCTGGTGCACCCCAGGTACTTCACCCTTAAGCATTAATGAATAATTGACTTGCACACCCTTAACCATATATGGTCTTTCTTTTGTTTTCCAAAGGTTGGTGGTTTAGGCCAGTTTTTGTTTTCTCTCACCTGTGCTACCTGAGCCTCCTGGGTCCAGGTGTGGGGGCTTCGTGGTGGGCTTGGGAGCCCTGGTCTGAGTAACCAGGGTGGTGGGTATCGCTGCTGTATCCAGGTCCCCAGGGTCTCTGGGCACCACCACTGGGGGTGGTGATGGAAGATGGGGCTGTGACAGAAGATGGTTAATAAGCCCCTATGAGCTGCTACATGGTTCTCTATGGCCACTGGGAGAACTGTGCTCTGGCCTGGAGCCTGAGGACTTGTCTCTGCTACTGCTACTAGTCTCTCTAGTGATGCAAACACTGCTGTAACTGGGGAGGGATCTGGGTTCCTGGGGAGGCAGGGGATGCTGTGGCCACCCCTTTGACCCTCTGGTGGGCTGTGTTGTGGGAGAAGCACCCCAACTCCTCTGCCAATATTGCCTTTCTTAAGGCTGCAAGCTCAGACTTGTCTGCCTGGAACTGCAGTTATGGGCCTGTCCCTGTCCTTCCCCCATCCTGCCTCCCTACACATTCCAATATACCCACCTTCCCACCTCCTGATGTGTGGATTTTTTAGGCATCCTAGTGTGCTGAGCAGAGGAGCCTTTGTTGGATTATAGATGTCTGACTAGTTGCAGATTTAAGGGAAGTACAAGTGGTTGTCTCAATTGGCATGGTGCTGATATCACTTTCTAAAATATCCATTTCAATCAGTGCCATTGGTTTATGATTTGGATGCTGTTTTGAGGGTCTTCTCAATTCAAAGAAAAGTAGCATAGGACTGTGCTAAATGAGACTTCAGCCCTGTTTTTGGATTGGGCTGCATCATAATAAATCACAGGAGAGTAAAGCTAAGGAGAGTACAGCCTTTGGCCAAATAGGGTCTACGTGCTTTGAAGTGGTGAAACTGGACTACTGGGTACCAAAGAAAACGAATGTCAGATACTTCTATAAATTGTTAAGCATGATGCACACTTAAAAGATTCTTATTAGTTCTCACCAGAAAAATTAGATATAGCATTATTTTACAAGGTGAAGATGAAAGAGTATGTAAATGTAAAAGCAATTTAAGAGAAGATTTTTTGCAGAAATATTTCCTTGTTTAATTCTTTTGTTCAAAAAGATGTGTTTATTATTTTAAAATATTTCTAGATCAATTGAGAAATAGTTTATTTTAAACTTAATGTTGTAGTTCCAAGAGATATATAGTTCCCTTGTGGGGCATTGGTTGTCCGATCACGCCAGGTTTAGTCAGAGAGATTATAAAGCAGCACTCTGTCCATATCCAGACATAGGTCTCCAACATCACTACAGAACACCTGGAAGAACTTTTTATACAGCTAGTCTATACAGAATTCTTAGACGTGCAGAAAGAAGGTGTCTTCTAGAGTTGCCTATATTTTAATGAATGCTACTAGGAAAAAAAGTACTCTGAGAGCGGGTAACATCCCATCTAAAATGATAGAAAGGAGTGGTTTTTTTAATAGGGCACTACAAAACAACCACGTTCTGAAGATTTTTAGCTAAGATTCTTGAGAGTCAAATATTAAAAAGAGCATAATATTGAATGTGTTTATCAGTCACCTTTATTTGCAAGGTTTTAACATTTTGGACTGTTTCTACTATGAAGTTTTAACATATTCAGCCTTGTATTTCTAAATTTAATGACAGTAATGATAATAAAGTATTGCTCTAAGTCTGTGATTTCAGTTGTACTGGTAGTTGAAGCAAGTTTTCTCCATGTTCATAACACTTAGGTGTATGGCCTCTGTCACCAGTGCATGAAGTTTGGCCTTGCCCATGCGATACCGCTGTAGTGGTACAGGTCACTACTTATCTGTTTTGCTAACCTTTACCTTCATTTTTCAAATTCTAGTTAAATCCTAGGATGTTAGTCCGATATTTCAGAATTAATTTTACACTTTAATTTGATTGTGTTATTTAATTTTATTGTCATAAAAAAGTTAAAATTAGCCTGAACAGATATGTCACTAGTTATTTGATCACTAGTGATATATTACTAATTAGATTTTTCTTACAAATAGAATGTTTTTCTAAGAACTGAAAATTTACTCCAGACAATTTTATAACAAATAAAACTTCTCTGGTTTCAAAAGTTTTTATGTTCAAGGCTTTTAGTATTTGTATGCCTAATGCCATGCATGGCCACAATATTTATGCAATAAATGGTTTTTAAATAGATTTTAAATAGGAAAATTCAATTTTACATTGATTGATTTTGGACTTTTCATCTATCGCTGACATTTTAAGAAATTTTCTAGTGAGTGAGGTTTTTTTATGTCTCAAATGTCTATTCAGTATAGCAACTCTTATTCTAAATATGGTTATATAAATACATCAAAGCTAAAACAGTTAATAATTAAGACTCTCGGATGTCAGAAGCATGGCAGCATGAGGGGTTCCCTTGATCTCTCCCCTTGAGGTGATAACAAGGTGAATAGCTATAATCCAAGGGAAGATTCCCAGCCTAACACATGAACACTTCTGAGAGATATGCGCATCAGAGCATCCGAAGTGGGTGAATCGGGCCATCAGTTCCACGGGTCAATATTTCATTTTGCCACTTCTGCAAATGCTCCACAGTCATTTCATCTTTGGAAAGATACAGATAATTGATCAACTTCTTCCTATTCTTCATTCATTCATTATCTCTGGACTCAATTTTTCAGCTCCTAGATCAACCAATTTTTCCTCAGTTCTTGGCTCTGCTGCAAAATACATGTTTTTAATATACACAAACTGACAAGTGCATTTCCTTCATATATTAACCTATTTACAAATGAATAATGAATTGCAATGATTTATATGGGTAAAGTTGCTTGATTTTATGTCATTATATTTATTTTTATAACATTTATCATGAGAAAGATATCAAATTTTAACTGAAAAGTATCAATAGTTAGTGAAAATATATTAATTTAGGAAATGTATATGCGTGTGGTGGTATGTATGTGTTTATCAAATTGGTTTCAAAAGAAGAATTGAACATTATTTTTTAATCTGTAGTCTAAATCTAATAGAAAGATAGGCATTCAGTAAATTATCATAGAATGAATGAACATACATATATTTGTATTTTATTGTGCTTTGCTATTGTTAGCGGCTCACTGTTTCTTTTCCTAAAATGTTCCTTTTAAGAGAGAAAACTTTAAAGTAGGAGTTGCTTTGAACAAGGTACATGAATTATAAAGTCAAGGAAGAAGAAAACATTTCTGTACATGTTGTGTAGTTATCTTTTTTGTTGGAGCCTTTGTGATGTAGATGGCAAATGACACTCCTCTTCCCCTTCTGAGCCAGAATGTAGGAGTCAGGAAGGTGGAGATCACTTTACTCACTTTGTTACCTACACATACTAAGGACGTAGAGGGTGTAGTTTAGATGTGTGGCCACAGCGGGCTTCCAAACACTGACCTCTCTCCCCAAATCAAGGAATTCCCCCCACAGTTGTCAGCAGAGGAAACAATGCTTGACACCTGTCTCAGGGGCAGTCTGCTTACTGCAAAGATGAGGGCAGATTCGACTACACATTACTGTGGGAAAACAGATCCTTTCAAAGATGAGATCTGAAACCAAGCAAGCATTTCTTAAAGGTTCCTTCTCTCAAATTCAACCATTTGGAAAATTTTCCCTTCTTATATGAGGAAAGTAGAGAGAGTATAAGTCCTCATGTGGGAAACTGAGGCCTGAGAAATGAGGTAGGTACTTCTGTGATTTCCGACTGAGCTGGAACTGTAGTTGAAATTAAGCCCATGTCTTTAGTACATAACAACTAATGATGAGAGGTTGGACAGAAGTATGCTAGATGGTAAAAAGTAGTCTGTTTAGTGTTTTCAGTTTTGCTATAGATACTCCGCAACATGGATAATTATTTAATTAATTTTGGTAAACCAAGGTCATTTAGGAGGGAAATTAAGTGTTTTTTAAAGAGTCAAATTCCTCAGTTTAAGCCTGCTTGGTTTACCAAAAGATATTCCCCTTCACGTTCCCACTCCTGTGGTTAAAAAATGTGTACTTTGTAGATTGAGTGTATTTACTGTGCATACTAGGAGTTACGGTATTAATTTCTGGTCCATTATTTTTATTCATGACCTTAAAACTTATAATTTAGTTAGAAAGCCATGTGTCTTATGCCTAAACATTTATGAGCTACATGACCAAGTTTTACATATTCTTTTTCTCTGAGTTATAGGTAAAAATCTATGTAATTTTCCTGAATACAGGAAAGTAGCTGGCATAGAACTTTAGGTTCATTAAGAAGACCCAAAGCCCATTCCTGGCCTGCCCTAATAGGTTTTATGTAAAATTAGAGACTTTGACTAAATCATGGACTATCATTCTTTAAAAAATTCTTTTCAAAAACTTGAACTGTTCTTTGTTTTAAAATGATTGCATGAAATTTTATTATATAAAACAAAGACAAATGGAGCTGACTAGCTAAAGAAGTGAGAGACTCTGACGCTGTGTAATCTTGCACATGTCCCCAGTGGAACCTTAAATTTCTATGGAACGTAGTTGAGAACAACCATTTATGAGAAAATCTTTCTCAGTAAAACTTCTTAAATTAAAATTACTTAACATGTTGTTTTCTTTTGTATGATTTTCTCACCTTTCTATACTTTTGATAAGTGGAAAAGTATAAATCAAATTGCAGATGTGGCCTCCTCATTAATGTTGGACTTCCAGCTCCATCCACTATCTGAACGCGATCCTCACTTAGATGTAAACATAAAGGCCATGGAAGTAAATATTTAGAAATAGTGCTTTAGGGGGCAAAGGTAATAAAATTACATCACTAATTTCTTAATGGAATTCATGAAAAATGTGATTTACATTTCATATATTGTTTTTGAATGGTAACACAAAATTGTTTCAATAAAGGTCTCTCCCTTTGTCTGGTATTGAGTTCCTGATTTTACAAGGCCTTTCTAGTAATGATGTCACATTATTCATTTTATAAGACCTGCCCTTCATGCCACTGTCAAAAAAGGTGTTATGGAAAACAGTCTAATAATAATGGGAAACAAGTTAGCCAACAAATTTGTTTTCACATCTAAACTTTGGAGAGGCATTGTCATTGTCGCTACAGTATTTATTATCTTCAGTATACTATTTTAAACTCTGTTTTGGGCATTGAGTGAGAGGATACTTTTTATAAGAAAGGTCTGAAGGAAAATACTCTAGATGGGGACACTTGTAACATAGTTTGAAATATTCTGACACATCTCATAATTAAGTAAATGATGACTATAATTATTGAACGTTTCAAAAATTGGCCTTAATTTGTAGAGAGGAAACAAAGTTGCAATTAAAGGATTATATATTGTTTTTGTTGTTTCTAACTCTAGAGAGTCATCAGTCAGAAAGTAGGTTGAAAACTGACTCTAACCATTATTTCTCCCTTGTACAAGTAGATTTTCTGAAATCTTTTGTTCCATGTAAAGAAATGTTTCAGTTCTAGTACACAGAGAAAAATAGTTTTACATATTTTTTGCGAGTAGAATTTGCATGTAACATAACATTATCACTTTCATCATTTTACTTTCAAAAATTAATAACAGAACATATCTTATTTTAATTTACTAAAAATGTAAGGATGGAAAGATTATATTATGGAAAACTTAATTAAAATGAAAAAAACTGATTAAACATATAAAGGGCAGGATTTCTAAGAATTGCAAAATAATGCATTCAGTATAAAGGAAGACTTCACCTACTTAAACTTTTACTTAAGCTTCTTCGTACCAATCAGATGATACATCGCCCTTCTAAACTTATATTTATTCAGTAGACCATATCGATTGTACTTTTATCAGATGAATCTAAATAACATTACATATATATGTTCTCTATTATCTAAAATTTAAAAAGTAGAAATTTATTTTATTTATATGATAATTCTATGTATGTAATCCCCAAGTTAGGTCTAGTCTCTCAAAGTATTATTTAAAGAGCATATTACATAAGTTATATATCATTCCTACAATAATGTCTCTATTTAAATTAAATAATAATATTTGCTTTATCTCAGATGTGGCAGGAGATGAATAAAATGATAACTAAAGAATTCAAAGAAGGTATGTTGCCAAAACTTATTAATTCAGTTTCGATATCTTTGATTTCTTATATGAGCTGTAAATAGTAAACAGAATCGCATATATGTTTGGATAATAGATACTACGTTAAGTATTTTCTTCCACATAGCAAATGGAAAATGTGAAAGCATAAACATTCATAATGAAAAATACACTTATTCCTCATTTATTTATCATGTTCCATAGCTTGTTAAAAACCTCAAAGGTCCAGGTATCTCTTTTTATTTCTGGTTACCCCCTTTCTTTCCTCTGCCATCCCTATGGAACTGTCAACCTGCACACTGAAACCACTGTCAGAAACTGAGCTTCATCAACTTCTCATGCTTTTCCTAGTATTAGATAAGGCCCCAAATCAGACTCATCAAGAAATACTTAGCCAAGCCATTACAGTTCCTATAGCTGTCACTTGCTGGATGACATTTCCATCTCCAGTCATTGACTTGTCTTTGGTTTACCTTTTGCCCTGAAGAGAGAAAATCCAAATTCCTTTGCATGGAATAAAAACATTAGGATTAATTTAGTTCTTCCCTAATAATTCAGCCTTATCTCTTGCTCCTTACCTTATTCTGCTCCTTTGCTCTAGCATCTAGCCAAACTGGACTACTTCTAATTCCACAAATGTTTTCCCTCATCACTCATCTTTGTATCTACCTCTTCCCTCTATCTTACATACTATTTCTTGTCCTTCAGTTATCAACTTATATATCACCTCCACCAAAAAGCTGGCACAATACTGGAATGTTTCTTCTGTTTGTTCCAATAGTGTCTTGTTTTATGTTTGTCATGGCATATATAACTCTGAATGAAAATTGTCTGATCATCTGTTTTTTCGGTTTATACTATATGATTGTTTAGGTGTAAACCATGTCATCGTCATCTCGTAACTCCAGTGCTTGTCGTACTACCTTAACACACAGTTGTTGAAAAAATGAATGAAGGTGATGAAACCAGCTCTGACACTTAGCCACAAGAGCAATTAATTCAGTGTGCAACCATGAGCAAATTATATTTAATAGTAATTTCATACTGTGTATTTTTTATTGTTTTTAACACTTAAACTTAGTCATATTTTAGATAACAAATATAGTCATTTTTCTTTCCAGCAACTGCTGAATTTGGATCTGAGTCCCATAAACCTTCTCCTCTACAATCCACTGGTGATCTACATTTGAAAGCCTCACAAGAACATGTACAAATCTTGATGAAAAATTATATGATCTGAAACATAAATAATAAAAATGTATTTACTGATCTGTTTATATAACTTTTTAATTGTTGCCATTAACCATATGACATGTGAACATTTTTATTAAAGGAAAATATTTGTGTATCATATGTGGATGTTCCAAATTTATATAGTATTTAAAACTGTTTCTTGACATCTATCTAAATTTTCAGCAGATTTTGTGAATGAAAACGAGCCCAAATACCAGCTGTTTAAGCAAGACCCAAATGGCCACATTTTCATGAGTACTTTAATGGTGTTCAGTGATAGCTCTTTCGTATTTTTCAACATTTTAATTTTTCATTGAATTTATTGATGTGACATTGGTTAATAAAAGTATATAGGTTTCAAAAGTAATGTTTAATAATATATCACATATATATTACATTGAGTGTTCATCGCCCAAAGTAAAGTTTTCTTCCATCCCTATATATTTGACCCACGTTACCCTTATCTACCTCCCCCCACTCTCTTTTCCTTCTGGTAACTACTAGACTGTCGTCTGTGTCCATGAGTCCCTACTTGTTTCTCTTGTTTGTTTAATGCTTTCAATTTTATATCGCATTTATGAGTGACATCCTGTGGTTCTCAATGTTTTCTGTTTGACTTATTTTGCTTAGCATGATCGTCTCAAGATCCAACCATGTTATTGCAAATAGCAGTATTTCATCTTTTCTCATGGCGGAGTGATATTCCATTCTATATATGCCCCACTTCTTCTTTATCCGGTCATCTATTGGAGGACACTTCAGTTGTTTCCAAATCTTGGCCACAGTGAATAATGCTGCTGGAAAGATTGGGGTGCATATATCTTTATGAATGAATGTTTTCAAAATTTTGGGATAAATACCCAGAAGAGAGATTGCTGGGTCATATGGTAGTTCTATTCTTAAATTTCGGTGGTACCTCCATGCTCTTTTCTATAGTTGCCGTACCAATTTACATTCCTAGGATTGTTTGCTTTTATTGTTGTTGACTTGTATGAGTTCTTTGTTTATTTTGGCCATTAGGCCCTTATCAGAGATGTTGATTGCAAATATATTCTTCCATTTAGTTAGTTTCCTCTTTGTCTTGTTGATTTTTTTTTTCTTTTTTCTGTGCAAATGCTTTTTTAGATTGATATAGTCCCATTCATTTATTTTGGCTTTATTTCCCTTGCCTTTGAGGTCAAATTCATAAAATCCTCTCTAAATCCAAGGTCCATGAGTTTAGTACCTATGTTTTTTTCTATGTAATTTATTGTTTCAGGTATTATATTTAAGACTTTGATTCATTTTGAGATCATTTTAGTGTATGGTGACAGAGTCTAGTTTTATTCTTTTGCATGTGACCTCCCAATTTTTTAGCACCATTTATTGAAAAGCCTTTCCTTTATCCATTGTATGTTTTTGACTTCTTTGTCAAATATTACTTGCATACACACACACACGCACACACATACGTGTGCGTGCATGTGTGTGTGTGTGTGTGTGTGTGTGTGTGTGTGTGTGTGTGTGGCTTATTTGTGGACTCTCCATTCTTTCCACTGGTCTGTGTCTGTTTTTCTGCCAATACCATGGTATTTTGATTTTTGTCACTTTTTAGTATAAAAAGTCAGGCTGAGTGATACCTCCTTCCTCATTCTTCTTTCTCAAGACTGCTTTCACTATTTGGGGTATTTTTTTAATTCCTTAGAAATCTGATGTTTGTTTGTTCTTTTTCTCTAAAAAATATTAATAGGATTTTGATGGAGATTGCATAAAATCTGTATATTGCTCTGGGCAATAAGGTTACTTTAACTATTATGATTCCTCCAATCCATGAACACAAAATATCTTTCCATTTTTTGTGTCTTCTTTAATTTATTTTAATAATGTCTTATACTTTTCAGTGTATAGGTCCCTCACATACTTCATTATGTTTATTCCTAGGCATTTTATTCTTTTTGTTGCAATTACAAATGAAATTTGTCTTCAAGCAGCCATGCTTTGTTTGGAATGCAGGAAATACTGTGCAAGCTAACGTAAGCTCCTAGAGGAGAGAAAACTTGTCTTATTCATCTTTTTATATTCTCTCACTACCCTCCTCAATAACTACTTACAGAATTAAGGATTTTTACACCATTATCTAACTATTGATATATTGCATGGGAAAAACAGAAAAGAAAAGAAAGGAGATACCATCAACCATTTGTTTTAATAAATAGGTTTTATTGCTGGCTCTGTCCCTTGCTTATTGTTTGTTGTTGTTTTTGTTAAATCACTTGACCATTTACCCTTGTATAAAATTAGAACTAGAAAATCTCTACTTCTCAAGATGGTTAATATGATCAAACAAAAAATGCATATGCAAAGACTTTGAATATGGCAAGATGCTAAAAGAATGAATCGAAGATTTCATTGTATTTGTAATTTAAGTTGGACATTAGATATCAGAAAGGTATGTTAGTGGATTAAATGCTGACACTGGCCGCCCAAGAAGCCTGTAGTTAAAATCAACATTCCTACTATCTTTAAAATAGAGATCATTTTCTCTAGATTCGTATAAATTGAAAAGGGAGCAACTAGATAAGAAACCTTCGTAGGTTTTTGTCAGTAATATAGATTCAAGTAGATTTTAAAAATTAAGCTAGAATCTGTGAATATTCATTTAAAAACAAAACTGCATAAGGCTTTTATAAAAGTAATTAAGGTGAAATAAAGTGATCAGAGTAGAGCCCTAATCCAGTGGGATAAATGTCCTTATAAGAAGAAAAGAAACCAGAGTTCTTGCCCTTTCCTTGCTCATGCACCAGAGAAAGGCCATGTGAACATGCAAAGAGAAGGCGGCCATCTACAGGTCAAGAAGAGGGACCTCACCAAAATCCAACCAAGCTGGCATCTGGATATCAGATTTCCAGCCTTCAGAACTGTGTGAAAATAAATTTCTGGGCTTTTTTTTATGGCAACCCAAGTAGCCTTATACAGGGTTTTAAATAATAGAATCTGAGTAATTAGTTTTGAAGGCTTAAATAAAATCTCTAAGGATCACATTAAAGGTGGATATTTTCAACCATTGTAATGCTTTGAAATTAAGTACTCTGTCTGGCTGGCTTATACTTGCCTTTTGTTCTGTTTTGTTCCTCTGCTCTCTCTAAAAAGTTAAGGAATAGCAAAGATATCTGCTCATTTGTGTTCCTTCCTATCCCTTTCTGAACAACACAGCTCTATTACTAGATGGGCAAAAATATTTTTCTAAGAATCTTTTACAATCAATGGTAAAGAATTTGAGGGAGGCAGGAGAGACTCTCTGCTTGGAAGTTAGGAGAATAGTAATCCTTAATCATTGCTACCTTTTATTAAGCATCTACAAAGGAAAAGACGCTTTTCTAAAAATTGACACACATCATTTTTTACTTACAAAACAATACAAACTAGATATTTCCTTTCTTTCCCTCTTTTCATTTACTCTAATTTTTGCAATATTGATGTTATTTGTTTTTACATAAGTGGAATGTGATTGTTATTTTAAAATTTGAGAAATTATAATAAGAGAGAAAAAAACATTCTTAATATACTACTCAGAACCAACCTTATTAATGCCATTCTAGTATGCATATATAGAAATAGATGATAGATATATACACATATACACATGTATACATATTTTATACATACAAACAGAAAAAAGGTAATTATATATATGAATAACATTAAATTGACTAAAATTTAATAGAGAAAAAATGAATTGAAATAGCACTGGAGAAATTCATAAACTTAGATAACATTTCTTCACCAAAAGAGAGAGTAGTTCTTAAATATTCTACATAAAGTCACCTTAAAATAAAAACATTTTTAAAAGAGATTAATAATTTGAAGTCATATTCCTTATTATTGATTTTCCACTTCACTTTAGAAATTACCACACTCATACACTTCCTCTCCCATTTCTTCCCTTGTTTTCTAGGGCATAAAGTTCTTTACTTTCTTGCATCGTATTTTCTTTTTTTCAGATCTTTTGTTTTATATTGCTCTACTGTCTTCTCACATTAAGTGTTAACTGTGGTCAAGTCTGACCCAAATGATTTGCCTGCCTCAAATATAGCCTGTTTCTCTCTCTTTTCCATTTTTATCTCTCTATAATACATCCTTTGCTTAAAAGTTGAAGTGAGCTTTTGAAGATGTAAATCAAATCATGTCATTCCCTGCTTAAAGTTCTTCTATTACATCCCATTTTACTGAGAACATATTCTAAATTTTTTCTAATGGTCTTCAAAGAATCCCATGATTCCATTGGTCTCACCAATCCCTCAAACTTCCATCTCCCTCCCTCTAGTGGCCACATTGTTCTTTCATTTTTTATGCTTCAGCATACCTATCTCTTCTTGTCTAAGGGCCTTCACCATCTTTTAGATCACCTCTTTCTTCCAAGAGGCTTTCTCTGACCACGTTATCTCTCCTACACCACCAACCTCAGACTCATTCATATTGTCCCATTACCCAGTGTCCTTCGTTTTACTCTCCACTCTGCACCCTCTGTCAATGCCCAACTCTGGACTGAAGGCAGGAAATCAATCATGAGTTCGTGATCATCTACCATCATTAGTTCATGCATAAGTTCTCTCTTATTTTGTTGTATTATTTTCCTCCTTTCTTATCCTCAGTTTCTTCAAGGGTACCCGTCCTTATGATATATTATGCTATATATTCTGTTTCTTCCTTTTCTTTTTATTTAACAGTATGCTTTGAGACTTATCTGTAGAGATATACATAGATCTAGTTTATTCATTTTAAGTGCTATGTAGTATTCCATTATTTGCATGTCTCACATATTTATTCTCTCATTGATAAACATGGGATCTTGTTCCAATGTTGTTATTCTAAGCAACATTGTAATGAATATCCACATATATGTCTCTGTGATTGCTGTGAGGACTTTTTGCAGATATTTACTTAAGAATAGAATCACTAGATTGGTGGTGTGTGCATACTCAAATTCAAAAAAACTTTGAAATTGTTCTCTAAAATGCTACACCAGCTTGTGTTTCTACAAGCAAGTGGGCCAAGGTTGGTGTCTGTCTTAATTCCATTTTTTTTCTCTGTTAACATTTTATATTGTCCAATTTATACATTTTTACCAATCTAATACTTACTGAGTGGACCTCATTGTTGCTTTAATTTATATTTCTCTATTTTATGGTGAGGCCGAGTATCTCATAAGCCATTGGACTTTCCATTTCTATTTGGCTCATTCTCTTTGTTTTGACTTACAGTTTCATGTATATCCTATTTAATAATCCTTTAATTGTAGTTTAAATTAGAAACATCTTCTCTCAGTTTGTCTCCTATCACCTTTTTTGAATAAAAATTTTTCATATTTCTTCAATGAATTCCATCAATTTTCCTGTATAACATAAATTTTACATGTTATTAAAGAAATAATTCCCCAAAACAATGACACAAAAATAACCCCCTATATTGTTTTCTAATAGGTGTATATTTTGCTTTTCATGCTTAAAATTTGAAACTATGTAGAATTAGTTTTGTTATATTTTAATTTTTGTACATATGTTGAACTAATTTCCCCAGCTCAATTGATTTAAATATTAATATTTCCCAATGGTTTGTAATTTCTATATTGTCATATATTTTATATGACAATATAGAAATTATCATATAAAATATTAAATTGTCATATAAAAATTGTCATATAAAATATTGAATATTAATATTTCCCAATGGTTTGTAATTTCTAT